GAGAACGTTTCACAGGCTTCAGTATGTCACACAGTTAATTATTAAAACTTTAAAAGAAGTGCAGTTCTTGAGGATAATTGCTTAGCACTTAGCGCCAACAATACACCAGGAATGGTAGGCTTAAAGACTGATGTTGCAGGCATGTTAAAAAAAGAAAATTCAGATTTGCAAATTACGATGTGCATCTGTCATGTCTTAAATTTAGCAGTTGAAATAAGGTCAATAAGTGTGGATGAACACACAGTTGATATTTATTATTATTATCTTGAAAAGATTTCTAAAAAGATGGAAAAATTGAAACAATTTCCAACAGCTGCATACTACTGAAATAAGAAAAAAAATCTGAAATGTGTATGTATATGCTAGATATCTTTAGTGAAACGTTATCTAGAATCATCGACCAATAAGACCCACTTCTTACATTTCTTAAGGATGAAGTAAATGCGAATAGAGTCAAGATAAAAGGCTCTATTGAAAGTTATAAAAATGCTTTAAGTAAATGGACAAAATTTTGTGAAAATTTGAAAATATAATGCTGATTTTTGTTGTTTGACTTCTAAATTAGTAAATTTATTACTTCTGGTGTTAAAAATAGTTGTGAGAAAAATTAAGTAATGCACCTGCAAGCAATTTAATTGGCAATTCTCAAAATAATACTACAAAGTATGAGCGTAAAGCTTTCCCCAAATTAAAAAAAAAAAAAAAATCGTTTGACAAGGGACACCATTTTTCGATTATTGTATGTTTATCTTGTGAAGAACAAATATTTATATTTTTGTCTTTGGGCGTTAACAAGGCTTTTTTCTTTTCTTATGCTCTATTTTGCCATCATTTGTTGTTCTTAACATGATTCTACAGAGCACAATTCCATCAATTCATATTTTGCAATCAATGATTAGATCTGGATGTATTATTTAATGATTAGGGAAATGGATTAGAGTAATTTGCTGTTATTAGAAAGTGATAAAAAATTTTCTCTGCATTTAAGAAATAGAAACTGAACTTTTAGATATTAATTAATTACCATTTAAAGTTAATTCGTCATTAAAAATACATTTTCTTTTTATGTACTTTTATTAATTGAAAAATCCTTTTGCCCTTGGAAAAATTCTCCTGATTTCTTAAAAAGATCTGATTTTTGAGTGTTGTAGGTTGGTTAATTTGCTGTAGTAAGTACAGTCTTCTAACTGCTATTTTTCATGACAGTATTTTAAACTAAAGAATAATAATTACTTCATTTATTTATTCTTCGATTACAGACTAATAATTACAGTCTTCAAATTGTTACATTTTCCTGATGTTATTTTAAACAAAAGATTAATTAATCCTTCATTTATTTAATCCTTTGATTACGATTTTCTAATTGCAATAAAATTATTCTTGTTTTTCCAGTCATATGAATGGGCTTTAGATGCCATGAGGTTCGTTTCAAATATGGGTATCTCAAACACCGAAAGTCCTGAAGGCGTCATGCGACAGATCAAATGCCTACAGGAATATTCGGATAATCATTTAAGAGTACCTGAAGAAACTTTCAATGAAATGATGGAAATAGCAATTAGGCTTGGAAATGAAAAACTTCTAGAACAGTGCAAGGTAATAAAGAATTTAAATACTAATTTTTGTAAATTTAAATTTTAACACATAATTTTTATAATGTGATTTTATTAAAAATATGTGCCATCAGATTTAACAGCTTTGTACACTTGAGTGCTTAGAAGTTATAAGAAAGTGAGTTCATTCTATGCAGGCAGTCGATTGTGGCTAACTTGAAGAAAATGCCAACCTTCAAAAAGAGTGCAAACTTTCATCAAAATGGCTGGGGTGCCCAAATGAAGTGTTGCTGACTTCAGTGAAAATGCTGGCACATTTTGGAATTTAACTATTGTTCATCAAGATGTAAAAAATTCCTGGCACACTTACATAATTCATATTATATTATAAAGATGTTAAATTTCATTAGAACGCAGGGGTGCCCATGTGAAGGTCTAAGTGAATAGTTGTGGACTTTGGTAAATGTTCCGGCATCCTTAGGAATTTCATTTTATACCACGAAGAGTGTATCCTTTGTCAACGTCCCGGGGCGTGAATTTCCGAAGTGCACATTGGCATCGAAACCAGCAGAGTGGTAGCTAAAATGAACCAATTGCTTCATTTGCAAATTCACTTACATGATGTTTTGTAAAATGAGGGGGGGGGGACATTCTAGAACATTCCTGTGAAAACCTAAGTAAATAGCCACAGACTTGCTTGAAGGTGGCATCACCATTTAGAAATTCCTTTTACACCACGAAGAATGCAACCTTCATTGAGAGGCTAGAATGCCCATGTAAAGTTTTATATTTGTGAACAACCATCAACGTACATAAGGTGACCACACCTTCATGAAGCTAGGTTTAGAAGTTGGGGAAAAGCTGCATTCATCAGTTTCATACCTGTATGATGGCTTCTCTCTTGGCGAAATCACAGTCTAAAGGTGCCAGCACCTGTATACAACAGGGCCTCTCTCTGCCAAGGGTCCCTGACATAAAGGTGCTTGCACCTTTTTGAAGCCGGTATTATGATAAATTTAAGTTTATGACTTAAATTTTAGGACTTTCTTCAAGGTGCTGGTAGCTATATCAGAGCAATTTTTTTATAGAGTTTTCCCTCTCATAAAGATACTGGCACTATTCTGAAGCTTATCTTTATAAGTTGGAGAAAGCATCTGTCATTGAGAGGCCAGACAGAATCGATGGCTACTGTATTGCCTTATCTCTAAAGATGCCGACACCTTTATGCAAATCAGCGATTGCTTGTTAAGACAGAAGGCCATCATAAAGATGCTCTGACATAATGGTGCTGCACCTCAAAGACGTGCTTTTTTTTTCCAAGTTAAAAATTGGACTTCATAAGTGTACCAGTACCTTCATAGGAGGATTTTGATCTAATAAAGATGCTCTAATGTGAGGGTACCAGCATCTGGACAAAAGTTTCTTTAAGTTATAAACTGAAATTTATAAGAGGGTTGTCTTCATAAGATGTTCTAGCATCTTTACGAAGATCGTACTCTTCATGGTGTAAAGTGAGCTTCATAAAGGTGCCAGGAAAACTTTATATCTTGATGAGTGCTGACAAACATTCAGAATGTGGCAGGACCTTTTTTAAATTGGTGACTATCACCCTAGATCTTCCTAGAGTTTTCTGCAACTTCAACAAAGCCTGTATTCTTCATGATATAAACTAAAATTCCTAAATGTGTCAGTACCTTTACTTAAATATCGACAACTATTCACTTAGACTTTCACATGGGCATCTGGACATTTTGATGAAAGTTGCAATCTTCGTGGTAAACTAAACTTCATAAAGGTTCAAAGCACTTCTTGTGTCTTGATGAACAATGTTTAACTCACAAAAAGCACCGAGACATTATTCCAGTCAGCAACTTTTCATGTAGAACGTCCCATAATCTTGATGGAGGATGCATTTTCCATGATGTATACATATCTTCTTAAGTGTGTTAAGCACCTTTTTGTCTTATAGTGTTGTCGCATCCTTGTACCTTGGCAAGCAATGTGTAACTTGCATAAAAGTGCCAACACTTAATGCAAGTTAGCGACATTGATCAGACACACCCCTGAATATGAATGCAATATATTGCATTCTTCAGACAAGAGGCTTTCAGAATTTCAGGTTAAAATAAACTAATGAAACTTTTTTTAATTTAATGGATTTCTTTTTTTTAATTTAACAATTTTTCTCATTATTATTATTATTTTTAATTTGATGATTTTAAAGTTTTTTTTATTTCTGATTATTTTGTATTTATTTTAAATTCTTCTTTGAACTTAATAAACTAAACAATTTAACTCTACCTCTGTCTCTTTTTTATATTTATTTAGATTGTTAAGCTTCGCTGTGAAGAAACAGTGGAATTGATCCAGACAAGGCAAGCCACTCTGCAAAAAGTCAAACAGCAGATGGAAGTGGATTCACTACGGGGCCCCTTTTGGGAAGCGGAGGATGCCACCCAGACACCTCGTACAATGCGATCACATTCGCAACCTATGAACTCTTGGATCCCGGGAAGTGTCAGTACACCATACAGCTCTTCGGCTTTGTACAGCCATCAGCGGAGACGGTCCACAGGTGGGCCGATGGGTGTAAATACATCTCAACGATATGGATCTCCAATAGGATCTTATACTTCTTTTCCAAGTAGTTACTACCCATGTGCAAAAGAGTCCTATCAGCTTGATTCTTATATGCAAGAAAAAGAAGATCAGCTTCTTAATCATGGACTTATAACAGAAGATTTGACATCCCAAGGACCTGTTGCTTCCATATCAAAAACTCTCTTAGATTCAAGAGCGGCACATAGAGATTCCCATTTATCATCTTCCACATATTCTAGTTATAGCAAAGTAAGTGCTTTTGTAGTGTACACTTTCTTGCACAGCTAATTATATCAGTTTTATATCTGTTAACTTCATTTATTAGATTTTTCAGTGCTCCTCTCTCTCCAGAGTGTGGATACATTCCACGATCCAATCCTCTTGTCTTTTTTCAATCCGTGTCATCTGGATAAGGTCCATCCAGTTGTTCCTTCCTGAGATTTCTTAATATGTAATTTTTTTACTGGTGGAGGTTGCCGACCTGACACTCAACCCCCAAGTTGGAAGACCAGTCTCCTGATATAATCCATTGGGATGGGGCACCTGGCTATAACCCCCCCAACACTGGGTATCTATTTTAGTCTCCTTTGGTTTAGGCTACATAGTGACTCTTCTTTTGCACCCGATCATCCCAGAAAGTATTTTTGTGCTAGGATGCACACTAGGATGATAAAAACGGTGAACTTTTTAATGACAAAATTGAAATACTTAGGAGATTGAGAGAACATTTCAAGACTGCTCTTTGTGTAAAAGTTGTGTTGGATAAAACTCGAGAGAGAATCAGGTGACACTTCTCAAAACCATCAGTATGAAGACTTAGAACCACTATCTGTAGATAAAGTGAGAGCAATAAATAAGTTAAATAATAACAGTTTGGCAGGACCAGATGGTATGAAGGCCGAACTTTGGAATATCAAGTAGCCTAAACTGACTAAAGAAATGCACTCCATTGTTTGGACTTTGGAAAAAATGCCCATAGAAAAGTTCCATATACCCAATGTGTAAAAAAGGAAATAAGCTGGAGTATAAGAATTACAGAGGAATCACACTATTAAACACATCTTGTAAGATATTATGAAATATTCTATGAAAACAGCTATCTGCTTTTACAAAAATAATAATAATAATAATAATTGCAAAATACCAGCATGAATTTCAAAAGGATAGATCTGCTACCTACCAAATTCATAGCATTAGGCAAATGCTTGAAAAAATAAAAGAATATGTTATAGCTACATACCACCTTTTCATTGATTTTAAGACTGTGTATGTTACCATTAATAGGGAGAAATTATCTCAGGTGATGCAGGAGATGGTAATACCTAAAAAATTGGTGTCTAAGTAAGTCAAGAAATAAAACGGAAGTAAAAAGCTAATTTTTTGCTAAAGAAATTAAAAAGCAACTAGATTCTCTTTCGTGCCAGTTGTTTGATATCACCTTTGAAAAAGGAATAGGAGACTCGGCCACACAAATGATTATATTCATAAAATGTCTGCAGTTGTTGGCTTTTGTTGTTGACACTGACATCGTTACAAGAACAAATGCTGCAATAGTTGAGACTTTTTGTGTGCTTGAGTAGGCAGCAAAAAATTTTGGTTTGACTGTCAATGAAGAAAAAAACTAAGTTCATGACAGTTAACAAACAGAAGTCATAACCTGATACTGCTGAAAATAAATGGCTGTTTTTAAGGAGGTCGAATAACTTAAATATTTGGGTAAAATTGTAATGATATAACTATTGAAGTAAGAATCAAATTAACATGGCTAGCAGATGCTATTATGGATTATAAAACCAGTTTAAATTAAACTACTTAAGCAGTAAAACTGAAATACAGTTGTGTAAGACCTATAGTGTTGTAAGGAAATGAGGGCTGGACGATGAATAAAGCAGATGAGGATAGAGTAATGACATCTGAGCAAAAGATTTTGAGAAGAATTTTGGGAACAGTAAGGGAAAATTGAATGTTGAGAATAAGATATAATTTTGAACTAATAACAAAAATTTAGAGAATCAAATATAATAAAAGTTATTAAATCCTCTTAACTAAAATGGCTAGGTAATATATACAAATATGGAGATGAGAACCTAGTAAAGAAATTGACATTCCAAAAGTCAGAGGGCATGAGAAGGAGAGGAAGACTATGAACGGTGTGGCTAGACATTGTGGAAAAGTGGTCAAAGAAAACTGATGTCAATAGGTGGATGACTGTGGCATGGATCGAGATGGCATAAGCTGCTTGAGCCAGCCTTGGATATCAGCTGTAGAGCATAAGAGGAAGAAGAAGTATACACTTTGATACTTAAGTCTTATGTTTTTATTAATGCAGTAGATGTCACTTTAGAATGGCAGTTAATCTCACTTTAAGTCTAACTCTTTTAGTAAAACAATGGATGCCACTTAATATAATGACGATTAATGTCACTTTATGTCATACTCTTTTATTAATACAGTTTATGCCACTTGATGTGGGGATGATTAATGTCACTCTAAGTCTTGCTCTTTTATCCATACAATAGACGCCTCTTAATGTGATGACAATTCACTAATTTTATGCAAGTCACCGATTGTTCAGCAAGCCATTGAAAAGGTGCTGGTGCCTCAATGAAAACTGCATTCTCCATGTTATAAATTGAACTCGATAATGGTACTGCTATCGTTATGAGGAAATTTTTTGAAGACTTAATAAAGATTTTTTGATATAAAGGTGCCAGCAACTTGACAAAATTAGTTAAACTGAATTTTGTAATGGTGATGGCTCTGCAACTTTACGCCAGAGAATCCTTGGCAAACAGAAGTTGGCTTGTATAATGTTGCTGATAACTTTAGAATGAAGATTTGCCAAGACAGAAACTATCATAAAGGTACAGTACTTTGGTGGATGTAGCTTTCTCTGACTTATAAAAAAAAATTTCACTGAGACAGACGCCATCATAAAAGTTAACCATTAATAGTTTTCCTATTACTGTAAACTGTCTATCAACTGTTATTTAACGACTAATTAAGTATGTAACTATTAACTGTGTGATGTTTCTAAGTGTCATCAAATGTTCAAGTCCTAATTGTTTACTGTATTATATTAACGAAATTCTTGGAAGCTAAAAACAAATCTGCTCATCGCCGTGCCACATGAATTCCAGTGGACGTGTTGAGAGTTCCATCACTGTCATAAACAGAACATTAGATGGCATATTTCTGTTCACAGGGTGATGTTATTCCTACTGTATTATTAGGATTAACAGCGACTTTGAAAAGTGGACCTAGGTTCTTCCAGTGCTGAATGGTCTACCCTGTCAATTGACATTTACCTGAAGATTTTATAAACCCCACAAAAAACTGAAGCAATATCATATCTTGTGTCTTACTCAGACACTTGTACAAAAACAGGGCTACATTATCTCCTACATCCACCAGTGTACATTCTTGAAGACCTCTTTTTACTAAAGAATTCGCTACATCCTCGCCTGTGTTTTTAAGGTGTGATGCATCAAAAAAAAAAAAAAAAAAATCTTTGGAGCCTACTTATACAGGCCCACATCTAGTTCTATGTCACATGCTTAAAACTCTCGGATACTTATTGGAAACAAAGAGACAGTGGTGAACATTGATTGTCTCAAACCAGCACCAGAAACCCTCAAGACACACCTCTTACAAGGGCATTACACCTCCAGCTGTCACTGCATCATCACCTGTGTCTGGATTCCAGAAGCCTTAGCATACATATTCTCGATATAGGATCTGTTTTAATCCTTAATACCTGTAATTGCCTTGACACTAGAGGGGGAATACTGTGGCAACACTATGTGAACTTATATTTACTTGTAACCAGGCGCCCATATTTCTAACTGTAATCGTAATGGAGGTTTAAGACAAAACAATAACACTTCATGTTTGATTGTAGCTGTGGTTGGTCGATTTTCTCCTCCGACACAATTGCCATCTATGTTAATTTAATGTGTAGTAGTTATAATTAAAGGTTTTATTATTTAAGCCAATGGTCGTCAAACCTTAGAACTTCGCGGACCACTACATATATAATTTTATATTTGGCAGACCACTAATATGAATGCATTTTTTTAACATTTTGTCTGTTACCTTTATTTATTAAATATCATGTTCTTTGCACTTAAACCATAAAATTCAGTTCAACAGCAATATCGCAAAATAGTTTTAAATGGAGCATGTCATTAGAATTTCCGATACAGAGACTCACGCGCTGGAGATAAAAATGTTTTTTCTGTATAACGTTGCTATTGCTCGCTTGAAATCCTTGAGTTTGTTAATCAAAAATTCATTAAAGTTTTACAAAATATGAAATCAGTAATAAAACAAGAAATTTGAGCTTCCACATGTCCTTATTTGAAGTAGGGTTACGTCATTCAAAATTCGATAGCTCTATGTACCGTTGTTTTATCGCAATACGAGAAATATATATAAATTTATAATGAATCAACGCAAAATCGCAAAACGAGAACAATAGTCCTTCAGGGACAAAGCCCCTTTGGAGTAAAAACACCATAAATCAGACCTTAAAAACAACATATTAATACTCAAAAACAATATTCAACTTTCCAATACATGTAATTCTAATTTTCATTTGTTAATAGAATTTTCGAAACAACTGGTATTCAGCAGCATGCCTTTAAGGAAAATCAGGCTACGTCCCTGATTATGAGTAACTATTAAAACGCTATTAACATCTCGCAGATACACATATTTCGTTCACATTAAAAAAGTTATATGAAAAGTACAAAAATCTTACATTCTTGTATAGGAAGCTTCACATTTCTATATCACTAAAAAGGAACTCCACGAAAAGCAAGAACAAACCGACAAACACAAAGCAATAGCAATAAACTGAAAGCTTTATACCGGTCAATTTTTAATTACTGTAAAAATAATAATCATCGCTTACTCAGCAATGGCGCCATCAATCAACAGTTAGACAAAACAAAAATGGAAACTTCCAGTGATGCAATTATAAACAAGAATGCAGAAGTTCTCATAAAAATCCATCAAGTTACCTATTGACACAGAGAAAAGTGTTATTAACGACTGCAATAGCATATGTTTGTAATTCAAAAGGAAAGAGAATTCCAGTTCACGCTATTATTGATAACAACATGGATGCCAACTTTCACTTTCAAATGTCACTAATTACACCTGCAAAAGTAGCAAAAAGTCGCTAAATTCAGAAGGAATTTTACTAATAGTAGTAGCTAAAATTATTTAAAAAGTATAATCCATATTCCATAATAGGTTTTGTTACTCGTCATTTTTTAATCTGAATCTTCATAAAGATATAAATAATGTCACAATTTTTCTGCAGACCATCGAAAAGTTTTCACGGATTACCTGTTGGTGACCTATTGCTTAATTGGTTTAGCTATTGCTTCAGCTGTCTTGTTGGATCATACAAAAGTCTAGTCATGCTTCTACATATACTTATTGTAGAAGCCAGCAACAGTGAGCTGCACAATTATAGTAAGACTGTTAATGGTTAATAGTTTAATAAGTAGAACAGTGGGAATTTTGAAAATAATTAGACAATGAATAATTTTGAGACAGTTAATAGTTAATGTTTTAAACTTGATCATTGATAGTTTTTACTTCTCTTGCCTATGTATGTAGGTTGATGAGAAGTAAAAAAAGAATAGTCAACAAAGAAATGAGTGATAAAATAGTTAATAACTAATAAATAAAACTAATAACTATCTAACTGTATATCTGACATTAATTGTCTAGCTGTAGTTATTAACTATAAATTGTCTAACGTTACTTAAAATTATGAAGTGTTGTCTGTAACTATTAATTTTCTAATAATTCTCAAAATACGATGCCTAATTTTTTAAATGTTAATTCTGTCTGAACTACTATTTGTCTAATGATTAAACTATTAATATCTAACTGTAACTATTAACTTTATTGGCAGGAGGTAAAAAGAATATGTAACTAGAGGTAAAATGAGAAAATTACGTATAATTTCTGCAGTTTTATCTTGAATTTAAATTTTTTCCTGTGCAGCATTTTATACATAATGTATGTAATTTATTTTTCATTAAATGTGTTTTTCATCTTTATTATTAACAGTATGATTCAAGTTGAATATTTAGATACTTGTGTCTTACTTAATATTTTTTAAACAGGATATTACAAATGTATTACGGAGTTCTGGTCGCAGTTCGTCTTCTGGAACTGAAGGTAAATGTACAAAAAGACTGATGAAGCGTTGCCAGATGTGGCAGCTGAGAGATGAAGCTCTCGAGAAAGCCAAAGCTGAAGTCAGAGAACAGACTGCTTTGCTTTCGTGTAGAAAGGCTTCAGAATCCTCCTATTGACTGCAATCTCAGCAGGTAATTTTGAAGATTTCTTTATGATTTACTATTTATGGATGGTATAAATAATTTATTGTGGGTCATTCAGAAATTTCTGCTTTATATAGGAATTGAAAAGCTAATAAGTATTGTATTGTAAGACCTATTTGGTCTTAAAAATTTTTTTGCGCAATATGCTGCAAAAATTATGAAATAATAAGAAAAAATATTGTAGTGAGCTCGCCAAAAAGTTACCAGGAGCTGTGGCTCCTAGGAATAGTTCAACGCAGTATTTTTTAAAAAATAATAACATTGAAGGGTGAAAAAATAGCCTAAATGCGAAATAAAATGCAGAAAATAAAACTGTTAAAATCAATCGTTGGAAACATGTGAATAGCAAAAAAATACAGTAAAACCTATCGATGTGATAAGTGAAAGTTAACATATATAAAAACTGAACGACAGAACAAGTTAAACACAAAAACAAAACAAATGAAAAACATAAATTAACAAAATTATAAAATTACAAAGCGGAGGAAAATGGTAAATTAGCCCAATTAGACTTTCCAACTGGCTTTTCCAGGGAAATTTCAGTTGAAAGTCGAACCAGTTAACACCATTACGCGTTTCGCCAAAACAGACAATTGAAGCTCTTGTGTGACAAAAAATTTTTTAAATAATATGAATTGTCCCAAAAAATCTTTTGGAGCTTCAATTCTCTGTTCCAATTTCCTGACGCGTCCGCAAAAAATGACACATTAAGGTGTAAAAAAATGTAAATGCAACTCCGAGAAATGCTAAAATAAAAATAAAATAAATTAAATAGTGGTCTGCTATTAGTCAAAGTATACAATAACATACAGGCTGGACCTGCAAGCTTAAAGAATAAAACTTTTATGAATTTTAAAGTTCTGAAATTAAATTCAAATGAAAACAAACGCTGTGGGTCTTGCTAAGATCAAGAAAAAAAATTAAAAAAAAAAAAGAAAGAAAGAAAGAAAGAAACAGACCTGTGGCTATGCTGTCCTCCTGACCTCGAAGCAAATTTGAAAAGGGGTTGTAATCTTTCAAAGCCATCCCTCTCGTCGTGTGACGTAAGCGGGTGAAACAATGTCACTGCGTATCAGCCAAAGCGATTAGATTGTCCTTTCGTGGGAACTCGTATCCCCCCCGAGTTAAAGAGGGGTTGAAAGACTCGAAAAGACATGTAAAGAATCCAAAATGGCATCAGTCAAGTTGTTAGAAGAAGAAAACTGTTTCAATATATATATATATATATACTGGTGAAGCAGTACAAAGCATAAGACATAAGATAATTTCATTGAATTGCATAATCACCATTTTGTTCCATGACTTTCTGTCATTGCTGATGTAGATTAAAAATTACTTTTTTAAGCTTTTATTCAGCTCGCTCATGCAGTTTCCAGGGCACAATTTCTGAAATTGGAAGCAATGGAGACCTACACAAGTCCACTAGAAAAGGAAAACAAAGCAATAAAAAATAAAGTAAATAAAATAAAACAAAAATAAATAAATAAATAAATTTACTATTAAAATAATAAACAATGAATTAATAAAATAACAAGAATTAAACTTAAAATTCAATAAATAGAGAGAAAAAGTTTAATAAATTATTAAATTTGTAAGGAATAGTAACAAAATAAATTACAAACAATACACAGCAAAATGTGTGTGTATATAGATATATAAATGGATGTTTGTTTGTTTGTTTGTCTTTGATACAAATCTATAGTTTAATTCCAAGCTTTTTGAAAATTGCCACATTCTGCCTTCAAAACAAGAGGATGGTCCCTGTCGTCATAAGGGCCCACTAGCGGCCGAGTGGTAAAGTCGCTGAACACTGGTAGTTCGGTCTGAGGTTTGAATCTCGTGAACGAGCTGGCTGCATGGGCATTTTCGTGGCTTTCCCCATGTGTAACATGTATACGAGCCAGTTTTCCTTAGAAAGTCATCCACGAAGGCATCCCTTCCCTTAGGCAGATAGCCCTCAAGGCTTTACCATAATCACACACACTGTCATCATAAGATTTCTCAAAATCCAACCCATGCCGTCCGCGCTGTTTACATACATATATTTTACATTAATTTAACAAACTTTTGTTTAAAAAGTAAATGATTTAAAAGCTTTGCATTGCCACTCTACAAAGTGTAAGATATATATGTGTTTCAAATTTAGTCAGAAAACTTGACAGTACAAAATGTGTTGCCACTCAGGAAAAGGCAATTAATTATATTCATTTATTTTAAATTTAATAAACAAACTCAGCTGTTTAAAGGAAATATGTTGCCAATGCCAGAATTAAAATATTTTTGTTTTAGTTAAAAATATTTAATTTCTGATACATTCACATGCGAGAATGACTCACATTTGTAATGACCATCAATAATTCACAGGGACAATCGCTAAAAGTTTGTGGACTAAATTTGGAAAAATCCATGCTTTCCACATGGGTAGCAATTATATGTGGCTTGCTCATGCATCGGAAAACATTTGGATTTATTTGTGTAGGCATTGGATGCAAAAACAAAAAATATTGTGAATCCAAAAGCACTTCAATGAGCAGAATAAAACACAAATACTTTCTTTTCTTAAAGCACTGCAATGCAGTCAGATAACAGTTAGTAGACACATACAATTTCATAAGAAAAACAAAGAGCTTAGCCGAGTTCAGTTTGAATTTATGACCTGAGTAAACATTATTTCAAAGATGATAGAAAAAAAAAAGGACCATTCATTTTCTAGGACACCAATGAAAAAGATAAAAACCATTGAAGCACCACTATAAAAATAAGACAGAATGCTAGAAACAGTAACAGAATATAGTAGGAAATATGATTGCCTCATCCTTTCCTCCAAAATGATGTTTTGCTTAATTTCCCTTTCCCTGTGTCTGAACAGTGATTCTAGATGTGTTTTGATCTGAAAAGAGGAAGAAGCACGCAACTTGCCTTCCCTTGTCCATGAAATATTCCGTTTCACCAACTGCAGGTTAATAGCTTTGGGAAGAGTCGTGACAAATGGCCTCAGCAAACTCCATAGCTTTCAAGGGGGTTCTGTAACCTCTCAGAGATATGTGAACGAAGTATTGGAATCCCACATTAGACAGTTTTGTGTGCTGCTGGCCCAGAGCTTTTGCTTAATGGATGACAATGGCAACACACACTAGAACAGTCAGAGGTTGGCACAAAGGTGAGTGACATTTCAGCACAGGAGAATTTGTATACTTGATGGTGTTCAAATTTTGTACTGCGATTGAATAAAATTATCTGCAATGCTTTTGTTACATAATGGCACAATGGGGATTAATTATCAAGTGACTGTACATGTTATGTAAGATAAAGCAGTATCAAACTCGAACTTATTAACTTTAGCAATAGTCCTTTTTTTTTTTTAGTTCCTTACTTCAATTCTATGTCCTCTTCAAAGAATCTGTATCGCATCACTTATGTCAATATTTCATCTGCAGTGATCTGCAATGCTGTTGACCTCTTGTCCAATCACTGTTCAAACCTGAAACAAAGAAGCTGAGTTTGGTATCTCTGCCAGTCTTATTTTTTGTGTGAAGGATGAGCGGAATGAGAAATTCTTATATGGCAAGTTTCAAATTTCAGAAGCTGAACGTTGTAACTGCAGTATGGCTATATGGCGCAGAAAACAATTTCGAGAGTTGTCTTGAATCAGCGAAGATGCCCAAATTCCCAAAGGTCATTTTGTGTTAGCTGATTGCAAACATGAGATTTTTTTGTTTTGACGATGACGCAACAAATCAGCATAGTAAACAATTTTGAAAATTAAACAATTCATTTTCAATAATGAAATGGTATACTCTATTTAAAATTAATGTTTTCATAAACTTAAGAAGTGTAAACTAAAAAAATAAAAATGTGTGTGAAATATACTTTTTAAGACAAACAACACAAGAGACATTTGCAAGAGCAAAGCAGAGAAATGACGCATTAAGAAGAAAACCTGGGAGAGATTAAAAAAAAGTTTTGGTTCTCAAATATTATTTAGGGGATTGGATAAAAGGCATCTGCAATGAAGCATTATGCAAGTTCTTATGATGCAGATTTATTTTGAAATCATGTAGTCTAAATTGGTATATTATAAATACTTAACTCTTTTTAGGATAGAAAGGGGAAAGACCCAAATTAAATTGAAGAACAGAAGATACAGTTGCCAATTAAAATTTCAAATTTGTGCTCATATTTTTTCTTATATACATGTGCTATATTATGATATATATTTAACTATATTAAATTATTTATGCTGTATCATACTACTTATTATAAACTATATTGTTTATAATACTGTTCTATTTTTTAAAATCAGTATTATAATTTACATATAGCCCGGGAAGTACTGATTCAAGCAACTCAGAGAATGCTTACAAGAAATCCGCTACACAAGCAAGGCTGGACACTGCCCGAGGACCTGTTCCTGTAAACTCTCACCTCATGTCTCCAACATCTCCCGCAAATGTCCCAGATATCAGCAGTACCAATGAAACTGGAAATGACACAGAGGCTAAATCTAAAAAGTTTGTGAAATTATTTAATCATTTTATTTTATTTTAACATGGGTAAAATATAGGTTATCCATAATTCAGTGAAACACTGTATTTCTGCACCTATTTTGTTTTTGCTAATTTTATTGTCCGAAAATCGAAAGGAGAAAATTATGTAAGTTTAATTTCTGAAGAACACCAAGAACATCACAAATGAAAAGGAGTTGTAGAAAAATTACTGGTAACTATCACAATATTAATTCTTTGAAAGAAACTTGCAGTCCAATAAGAAAACTTAATACTATTAATATCACAACATGTCTTCGATATTGAGGCAATATCTGATGGTAAAGGGTGCCCACCAGCGGCCGAGCGGTAAAGTCTCTGAACACTGGTAGTTCGGTCCAAGGTTCGAATCCTGCAAATGGGCTGGCTGCATGGCTGTTTTCGTGGTTTTTCTCATGTGTAACGTGTATACGAGCCAGTTTCCCTTAGAAAGTCCTCCACGAAGGTATCCCTCCTTTTAGGCAGATAGCCATTGAGGCTTTCCCATAATTGAATAACCTTACCTAACCTGATGGCAAAGGAGCTGACTCAGTAATCATGTAAAACCACAGGGGCACTTCACATTCACACAGGGTCAGCCTTGACTGGAATTCTAGATAAGGGCATCGGAGAAATAAAGAAAAAGGAGCCAAACAAAAGACCTGGATTTTGTTTGGCATGAAATACATTAGCAGTAGATAAAAAGCTAAAATGAAGTCCTGATTTTTTTATTTCAATCTAATTTGTAATTATTTATTTATTTTTATTTATTTAGGACTCTAATGCTTATTATGAAGGAACTGATTCAGACTGAAAGGGACTATGTGAAATCGCTCGAATATATTATTGAAGTAAGTTCTAATAATGTAATGATAAAATAATTATAAATGTATAATAATTTACTAACAAGGCAATCCATTGTATAGTGAACTGATCATTTTTAGAAAGGATTCCATTTATTTATTATATGGATATAATACAGAAATTAACATTTGTTGATCTTTTTAAAATATTGCAACTCTAAAGGTCTCAACAAAGTGCAGCATGGCATAGTTATGACCATAATATCCAGTAATTTCTGAAATTAAGCTATAATATTTCTTCAGCATCAGTGTTCTGTCGTAGTGAAAGAATAAAATTTTAATGTTTTTTTTTTTTTTTTTTTTTTACGCATTCATCTTTATTTCTCTCTTGAAATAAATTTCACTGTGACCAAAAAATAGGAATGTATTTTGGTTTGCAGATTTAATTTTTTAGATTTATTATAAATTATTTTGAAATCTAAGTGTGTTACTTAGAAACTTTATTGCAGCAATGTCATTTAAAGAACATAATTTTGAGTTGCCAGATATTTTGAGTAGATTAAAAAGAGGTACAATAAATAATGGTTTGTGTGCTTGCTCAATAAATTATTTCTGGTTTTGACTGTGTATCTTATCAACTTTATTGTGGCAGTAACTTTTAAAGAATATTGTGTACATTAAAAAATAGTAGAAAACATTGCTTTGTGCATTTCAACTTTTGAATTAATAAATTATTTCTAAATTTAATTATATACAGTCAAAAGCCGTTAACTTGGACACCCATAATCCGGAATGATCTATAATCCAGACCTCAAAGCTAAAAACTTTCTGCGCATGCGCCACGTTGACACATGCGCATAGGCGTTTACGTGTGCACGTAAGACCTTTACGACTGCGCATATGCGTGTGCGCAAGCGCAAAATACGTTTTGCGTGCGCGTTTAATGTATAACGGACGGTATAAGCTAAAATTATCTAATTATCTATTTCAGTTAATGGTGATAATTGCATTGTTCCTTAATCTTTGAATTGGATCCGGCTTATTATTTTTTGCAGACTGTAAGAGCAATTTTATAAAAGTAAGCTTTAACTTTCGATTATGTCAAATAAAATTTCCGATGCTGGAGCTCCCAAAGGATATACAAAACGAAAGTATGTTCCGATGTCCATCAAACAAAAAGTGGAATTGCTGCAAAAAATGGATAAAGACATGAAGAAGGTGACAGAGAAGTTAGTGAAAACGAAAAAATTTCAATTGACAAGTTAGTCGGTATCATAGGACTTGAACAGCGGAACTTTGTAACTGAACAAGAATTTATATCTGTTTATAGAATTAAAGAGAAAGTATTATCACATAAAAGGAAGCAACGTAAACAACTTACATTGAAAGAAATGTTTAATAAAGTAAACAAATAAATATTAAGCTTTCTTTTTTTTGGTAAATTTTGATACCCTTAGATCATAATTGTTCTTTATTTCATAAATTACGGTTTCATATTTTTAATTTTAGAATTTCTGCATGCCATCTTACGAGATTTAAACTGATGATCTATAATCCGGAATCGCCGAAGTTCCGACGAGTCCGGATTAACGACTTTTGACTGTACTTATTTTTTCTTCACAAAGAGGACAAAACTTTTGTCTTCTGCATATATTATATTACATGCTCACAAATTCATAATCGATTAAATGCACACAGAACCGATGAAAGCTTAAAAATTTATTTCCTGAAAAGAAACATTTTACAGCTGTGGAACTTTCCACAAAATGTGCTTGTACAGCTCTTCTGAGTATGACAGAGCACAATTGATAGTTACTACTTCAAACTACTAAGAACATTAAACACAATGCATTGTAAAATGACTAAAGAGCGAAGCTGGTGTGAAAATCTCAATGCTCAGCAATCAACTCTGAACTAAAAATTGAGAACCGATGCTATCTCCAGTCTTATATAGTTTTCCACTTGGCCACCAAGAAATTTACAGTACCTTCAATTTCTTGAAATTGCTGAAAGATATATTGTTACACATAGAGGCAGATACATTTACAGTGTCACATAAATTAGACTAATTATACAGAGATGGGGCCAATATGTCGCTAGATGGTCACCAGATCTGGCAGCTTTTGTCTATTTATCATAAAATTTAGTTACAAAAGTTAGTTGCCAAAACCATCACTTGACTGGTTTGGTGAGTTTGCGCAATTTAATATCCAATTTGAGATAAAAATTAGCTGCCGAAATCATGGCCAGTTTGGCGCTATCTCGCAAATTTGCCGAAAGAGCCATTTACCATAATTTTAAATGTACTTTCTTTCCCCTGTAACTATATTTTGCTGATGAAGCTTCATTTTTGGCTTCATCACACCTTCATTCATTCCTTTCATGATTATATTATTAGACAAGAGATACTATAAATGTAAACATAATTTCACCACAATTATTTACACGTGTATTTAAATTACACGTACTCATGCGCATGCACTTTGGGAGGATGTGGCTCCAAATATGTAAAAAAATGATTGGCATAATTTATGGCCAGCTACCATATTTCATGGTGAGGACGATGAAGATCATAGGCGTGAATTTGAATGTTTTCGGACATCGCAAACTAAAGGTGAAATTTTCCAGTTATTGGATTCTGTAAAGAAATGTGGAGAAGTGGTAATAAATGAAGATGATATAAGAGAAGTTTTTCATTGTGACGACAATGCCCCAATAATCAATCAATTAACGGACAGTGAAATCTGTAGTATGGTTCTAGGTCCAGGAAATACCACTTCTGATAATGAAAAAAGTGACAGAGAGGTTATTGAAAATGAAAAAATTTCAATTGGCAAGTTAATCAGTATTATCGACACAGCAATTACAGGTTTTGAACAGTGGAACTTTGTAACTGAACAAGAAATTATGTCTGTTTATAGAATTAAAGAGAAAGTATTAACACAAAAAACGAAGCAGCTTAAACAACTTACATTGAAAGAAATGTTTAATAAAGTAAACAAACAAATATTAAGCCTTTTTTTTTTTTTTTTTTCTTTTTTTGTAAATTTTGATACCCTTTAGATCATAACTGCTCTTTATTTCATAAATTACGGTTTCATATTTTTAATTGTATAATTTCTGCATGCCATCTTACCAGATTTAAACTGATGATCTATAATCTGGAAAAAGCCCTAATCCGGAATCGTCGAAGTCCCATGAGTCTGGATTATGGACTTTGCACTGTATTTAAATTACATACACTAAATAGATTACATATTATGGGCATAGTAAGTCAACTCTGAACTTAAAAACTGGTGCTCTCAGCAATCTTACATAGTTTCCGCCAAGAAATTTTCATTTCTCGAAATTTCTGGAAGGTATATACAGTTACATAGGGCCAGATACAGTTACAGTTACATAGGCATTTGAGCCAATTATAATTACATAGGACGGTAACAAAATGTCACTAAATGTTTTCGATTTTTTGTCAACAAAAATTACTCGCCAAAACCGTCGCCAGCTGGGCTCTATGTTGTCAGTTTTGCGAAATGTTAAATGGACTTTGAGGCCTTTCTTGTTATGTTATACAAGGGCTACTACAATTTTAAACATAATTTCACTAACATTATTTACAAATATACAGAATTTGTAACAATATGCATGCTTAAAGTAGAATTTTTAATATCTGCTATATAATTTACCTTATAGGGTTTTTTATTGTATCATTTGTTTTTTCAGTGACAATTATATGATTATTTAATTTGGTTTGGAAAAAAGGAGTGTTTTTATAAGCTTTTGTTTGGATCAGTCATGGTGTTTCACTGTGATTGTAATTTTGTCATAAATTTTTAACCTACTTCCTAATAACCTTTCAAGTTCAGATTTTATTCGTACACTGTTGGTTGATGACAATGCAATTTGGTGAATGGATTTTCTTCAAAAATTTGTTTGTTTGACATTTAAGAAATTTTCCGCACATATCTTTGTTTAACAAACAAATTAAGTATATCAAAATATTACTATTTGCACCATCAAATAGAGGAAAAAATATTCATGAGTCTTGTATGAAACCTGTAACTTCATTTCCGAATTTTTGACGAATTACTGAAAATTGCACAATTTTTTCAATCATTTGGTGTTCAGGATTTTAAAATTTCAACATAAAAAGGTATCTGAAATTTTTACAGAATATAAAATACTTTTTGGCCTCTTTTAAAACATGAATATTAAAAAAAATATTAATTGAGCGATTTTCTACATATTAAAAAAAAATGTGTTGCAGTCGAAAACAGATAGTGAAAAAAGGTTTCTTGAGGAAAAGCTGATTTTGAGTTTTGCCATCTTAGTGCACTTAATGACGAAGTTTGCTATTCTGGCACACTTAATGAGGGAAAATGTTCATTGTAACATTTTATTACATCTGGAACTGAATACTCAAAGTGATTTCTTCATTTTCTGATTGCAGTTTAATTATTTTTCTTTATTTTGTAATATTATAATTTATCGCTTGTGTTCTTATAATGAATAAAAATTTCATCATTGATAACGTGTAGTTGAGACTAACAAACAGAAAATAAAATATAATTAAATAAAAAATTTTATACGATGAGCATTTATTTAAATTGGATATGATAATGAAGTAAAAGGGAAAAAATAATTTTGTATATAGTTTAAGGGGAATAATAAGTTTAAATAATTCTATTTTCAGAATTCTTCTACAGTTTTATATATAAATCAGTATTATTTGGTATAAAAGATTAAAAATTAATTCTTTCAATTCATTACAGTTATTTACTGGCATTTTTAACTGTATCTTTCAATTTTTCAGAATTATATTCCTGAATTTCTAAGGGAAGACATACCACAAGCACTACGAGGTCAAAGAAATGTTGTGTTTGGAAATATTGAGAAAATATATGAATTTCATAATCAATATTTCTTAACTGAACTTGAGCACTGTGAAAATTCTCCCTTCACCGTTGGCCAGTGTTTCCTTGATTTTGTAAGTACTTAACATTATGAGTACTGTTCTAAAATACTTCATAAATTATATGTATATTACATTAAGTGCTGCTTGATGTGATTCCATCTGTCCATGAGTATTTTAATAACTGCAACTGAATGATAACATTAAGCAATGAGAAAAATATTCTTCAAAATAGCAATAAGATTCAGCTAATTTAATATAAAAAGAACTAAAAATATATAAATAAGTACTTTCACAGGATTTTAACTAAGAACATGCAAAAGTTTGTTTATGAACTGTTTGCAGTATCTTTAATAGAGAAGTTCATTAATAAACAGTTCATAACATTTCTGGAAATTTTATGATGCTATACCCCTAATCTTTATACTTAGGGCCTCATTTGAAGAGAACATGCTTGTGTAAAATTTGAAATTTGGCAATAAATAAATAAAAACAAAAAATAAATTGAAAGTTTTCAGGTTTTATATTACCTCCAAAGGGGCTTTTTTAATATTTTGTGTGTTACCTTTCTTTATTAAAAATTATGTTCTCCACAATTAAACCATAAAATTCAATTTAATAGCAATATCACAAAATAATTTAAAAAGAGCGTATCTTTAGAATTTCCAAAACACAGTCTTGTGCACTGGAGATTTTTTTTTTTTTTTTTTTTCAATACGATGTTACCACCGCTCACTTTGAAATCATTGAGTTTGGTAATCAAAAATTCATTAAATTTTTACAAAATATGAAATAGTTGATGAAACAAATTCCTAATTAGAGCTTCCAGATGCCCATATTCGGGTGGAGGATTAGTTTATTCGAAATTTGATGGCTCTAGGTACCATTGTTTTATTATAATAGGAAAACATACATTTATGCAGATTCTTCAATATATAGTTTCTTTAAATATAAGACAGGCCTGTAAAACATTTGTGGCGACAATTTGGAAAGCGATACACCGTTTATAGTGATTGGCCACAAAATTCAGATGCCTGTATTTGGGGGAGGATCACATTAGTCAAAATTTGATGGCTCTAGGTAGTGCTATTTTATGTAAATGCAAGAATCATACATACATTTATGCAGATTCTTCATTATTTAATTTCTTTAAATATAATGCAGGTCTCTAACATTTGGTGGCAACAATTTGAAAAGTGATATGTCGTTTATAGTGATTCAATGCAAAATGCCAAAACTGGGCTTTAAAAAAAATAATAAAAAAATCTAAATTTATCATAGATTCTTCTCTCTCTCTCTCTCTCCTTTTTTTTTTTTTTTTTTTTTTTTTTCCCCTGCTTCTGAAGAGAAAAGGGATCCATATCTAACATGTCTCTAAAAATCCACTCCAAACTAAATTAGCTTTTTTTGCCTAATTTTAAATGGTTGATTTAAAACTGAAATCAAACTGTTTGGTGACATCTCGTTGTCACTTTGCAATTTTTCTAATCTATTTTAACCTTGTTTAGTGACTTTTATTTGATGGTATTACTTCAATTTAAAGCAAATTTATTCTCTAATACTTTGATCATATTAACCAAATTATTGATGTTTTGATATACAAACAGGCAAGACTTCCGCAACTCATAATAACAGTATCAGAATGATTTAAGCAATAACAGTACCCAAATGATAACATTAAGAACGTAAACTACATGAAATAAAACTTGAAAATTCAGTTAGGAATTTCTGATTATTAGCTAATAAAAATATAATATCATCAAAACTTTTGTGAATGAGCCTTTCATGAGCTACAATATGCATCACCCAAATAAAAAAAAACCCAAATAAAATAAATAAATACAAAAAGGAATACAAAAAGAAACAAGCAAAAAATACAAAGAGAAAAATCTAAGAAATTAACAATATAACCAAATCAAAATAAAGAAGAATCAGTACAACCAAACCAAAAACAAATACAAACAATAAAAACCAAGAAATGACCAATTTAAAAAAAAAAAAAGAAAGAAAGAAAGAAAGAAAATTTGTTCTTTGGATAATTAATCTCATCTGCGAATCAAAATGTAAACTATGGTAAATTATACCTGGTAATCAAAAACGTAAGCTTTTGAAAATGTGATGCCTGCACCACATATAGGCAAATCACGCTGCTCACAAAAGCATTACCCATGTGAGATATGGTCAAAACTGTTTAAACAGTTAAAAAAAGGGAAACGAAATTCCAGTTTTTACAGAAATTCAGTGTAAAATTTTTTTTTCTTATCTGTATCCTATTTACACATTATTTGCAAAATACAGTTTTCTGTAAGGAATGTATTATAAAATTTTGCATGAAAATTTAATATTTTATTTTCTATTTTTGTAGCAACCTCAGTTTTACTTGTATGCTCTGTATAATAAGAATAAGCCAAAATCTGATGCCCTTATGTCTGAATATGGGAATGTATTTTTCAGGGTGAGTATGCTTAATAATATACAACAGTTTGTTATATAACATAACATTCTTTTTCAGGTTTAATATGTAACACATTACTTGCCATTTGTATCATAATATGCACACAACATATATTAACACAACAAGCCACTTGTATTGGTTCAGATACTCTGACAAGCATTCAGATTCAGGTATTTCCACATATTCTAAAGCAGGAAGCAGGGATATCTTTTTTTTTTTTTTCCATTGATCCCTTTTAAAGGAATGGTTTCCTTCATCGAACCCGTTACATTTTTCTTTATAATATGCAATAATATAACACAGTATAATTCTTTAATAGGCAATACAATACATTCGCAATATAATATAATTCTATAACTTAATGCAATACATTCTATTACAGTCAAAAGTCGTTAATCCGGACTCGTCGGGACTTCGGCGATTCCGGATTATCGATTTTTCCGGATTATAGATCATCAGTTTAAATCTGGTAAGATGGCATGCAGAAATTACAAAATTAAAAATATGAAACCGTAATTTATGAAATAAAGAGCAGTTATGATCTAAAGGGTATCAAAATTTACAAAAAGAAAAGGCTTAATATTTATTTGTTTACTTTATTAAACATTTCCTTCAATGTAAGTTGCTTCGTTTCATGTGATAATACTTTCTCTTTAATTCTATTAAACAGACATAATTTCTTGTTTAGTTACAAAGTTCCGCTGTTTGCTGTGTTGAGAATACCCACTAATTTGTCAATCGAAATGTTTTCGTTTTCAATAACCTCTGGGTCACTTTCTTCACTATCGGACCAGGAACTTGATTTAAATCATATCAAAGACTGAGTATATGGAGATGAAATACTACACTTAGTACCGAATTATAAACCAAATAAAATAAAAACATCTGCTCTGAAGATAAGGATAGTGCTGACAGATCATCTTCCAATCCACAGCGTGAAATTGATAAACAGATTTCGGATTTCAAAACATACTTTCGCTTTGTAGATACAAATTACATATTAGTAAATATATATATGGGAAATTCTATTTGACATAATCTTTCTAATCTATCATAATCTAATAATGACGTTTCTGCCCCCCCCCTCTGCGGCAGAGCAGCGTGAAATTGATAAACAGATTTCGGATTTCAAAACATACTTTCGCTTTGTAGTAAATATATATCGGAAATTCTATTTGACATAATCGAAAGTTCAAGCTTACTTTTTTATAAATTGCTCTAACAGTCTGCAAAAAATAATAAGCCGGATCCAATTCGAAGATTAAGGAACAATGCAATCTGCAACATTAACTGAATTAGATAACTTTAGCTTAGCGTATAACTCCGTTACACATTAAATGCGCATGCGCACAAACATATTCGCAGCTGTAAGGGTCTTATGCGCTCTCGTAAATGCCTGTGCGCATGCGTGAACGCGACGCATGCGCAGAAAGTTTGTAGCTTTGAGGTCCGGATTATAGATCATTCCGGATTATGGGTGTCCGAATTAACGACTTTTGACTGTATATAATTTAATTATATAATACAATAATTATAATGCTATACAGCATAACATATAGACTTGTAACTCTAACTTGTACAGCAATAACTTATAGATAACAATCACATTAAAATATGAACACTAATTTTGGAAAAAGGGTTTATTTAATTTATTTTAAAACTTTTTTTTTTGTATCATTCATTATGTTATATAACATATAATATAATTAAATTTCTATACTGTAAAAATCAGAATGTATCAATGACTTAACATTTGATTAAGAATGTGAACAAATTTTGGGAAAAAAAAAACAGTTATTTTTCTCATTTTATATGATTTCTTCCTTAATACATTATACAGCTTTATAACAGCGTCGTTATGACCTACTTATAACCCATAGAATATTGATATATTTATAAACCTTGATATAGTTTATAATCATGATTATTTATAATATTGATATATTTATAACCAGTTAAGTATTAATATATGTATTATAACCTATTCAATATCAATATATTTATAACCTCTTCAGTATTATTAGTAGCAGTACTTAATTTTGTTGTTTCAGAAAAAACAGCTCGAGTTGCAGGATAAGATGGATTTAGCTAGCTACCTTTTAAAACCTGTACAAAGAATGGGGAAATATGCATTACTTTTAAAACAGCTTTTAAAGGAGTGTCCAGAGCGAGAAACAGAGCACAAGGCATTAAAGGTAGGGGGGGAAAAGATTAAAAACCTGGTTTTAACTGTTTTGTTTTAATTTTTATTTATTTGGTATTTTTTGTCTTTGAAAGTTAACTGCTGGTACATATTAACCATTTTAGTCTAACACTGAAACTACAATTAACCCTTTGACGTGCACGATATTATTTTTATAATTTTTTTAACTAAAAACTCTAGAAATGGAATATTATGATCCTAGAGACAAATAATATATGACTTAAAAAAATCTACTCTTGCCCATTGTTCTGTGGGTGGTGGTCGCACTGTGAAGCCACCGCGCGTCTAGGACTTTGAAACTTACCTAGCTAGTGTGGTGTGGGGGGGGGGTTGCAATAAATGACAAAATTTACGAATTTTAAAAAAATGTATGTAGAAACTGCATAATAATATATAATTTTTTTTTACAATATTTTACAAATTAAATCGTCAGGAAAAATTTAAAAATAAACATTTATGTAATTTTTATATAGCAGTGAAAATATAAGTACCTACATAATAAGGACATTTGGCTAAATGGATTAAAAATCTCAGTAAAATAAGGTTTTTTTTTTTTTTTTTTTTTTTTTTTTTTTTTTTCCCCAAAAGAACAAATGTTTTTGTGACACTGTTCAAAGCATGTTTTGTCTTTTGGGTACATGCATAGATCCACATTGCACGTTTCGCACATGTATCTTCTTCTATGATGTTTCTTTCTTGTGCTACTAAATGTACACTGCCTGGATCTAAATTTCACTGGTATATGTCCAGCATTATTTAGTTTCTTTTCATCTGGCACATGAAATTTGTGTTTTTTTTATCTTAATGGGAGGGTGCTTTAGTCTTTTTGGGCTTTGATACAGATCATTCGTTTCCCATTCATGCTTATTTTATTTTTAATTCGGTCCAAAATATTCAGAAAATATTTTCAATTTAAATAAAGCTTTACGCAATTTCTATTCTTAATTATAGCAAAGTATATTTACATTAAATTTAAACCGCAGAAAATAATTTATAAAATCACAATACTAGCTTTGGGAGCAAGTGTGTTGAGGTCAGAGAAAAGTCTCTGGAAAAGAAAGAAAGATATTTTTACTGGGCAGGTGCATGTATTGTTTAGTAATAAAATAACTCTGTGGTTTCAAAACCCCTTATCTATATCTGAGTAAAAATAAACATTTCTATTTGAGAAGCAAGCAAACGCCATTGTGAAGAGCAGTGGTTTCAAGGCGCGACCACCGAGCCTCTAGAGCATTGTGAGCACGGTAATACAATGCTCTAGTGGTGCAGTGGTCGTGCCCTGAAACCACAAAGCAAATGCCATACATACAGAGGTTTTTTTTTTATATATATATATACAGTTTAATTATTGCTATTTTTTATTTTTTAAGATAGAATTCATGATGTGCGATAAATAACTTTTGAAATTTAAAGTTGTTTATATTAATAAAAAGAAGTTATTTTGTCTCATTGAAAACGAATTTTAAAAGGCATCTGATTTGAAGTACTAAGACCTGAAACATGTATGATTCTGCAGTCATTTTGTGTTATTTAGAGGTAAAAGATCAGTAATCAATTGATTTTCACTCAAAAATTTCAGAAGAAAGAGGAGGAAAAAATTCGAAAATTGGTGGTTTCAAGGTGCAACCATTGCGCGACAAAGGGTTAATTCAAAATTCTAATTTTCTTTTTTTTGTAGATTAAGAAAGTCATACGATTTTGAATTCTGTGTAATTCAAAATTCTATAGAAAATTAATTCAAAGTTCTATAGACTTTTGAATTCTATATTCCAATTTCAGTTTAAAATTTATTCAAAATTATACAGAATGTAAGCCGATGCTTTCTAAAATTCCGAGTGGTTAAATTAAAACCTCACAATAATTTTTTCTTCAGCGCTTCAGAATTTAATTTATAGTTTTATTAATTTTATTCTTTCTCTGCATTTATGTTATTTTCATTTGTATTTTACAGTTGTTAAAGCAGTTCATCCTTTATTTTTTTGCACTTTCTAAAATTATTTTAAAATGAGTAAATAACCTTACAGCTAATTACTCATTTTTATAGATTATTGTTTTTATTTATTTATTATGTTATCATCACCATTACTCTGTCAGAATATTTAAAACAAATCTTCATTTTGTTTTCGTGCTTTCTAAAATTACCAAGTTAGTTCAATTAAAACTTTACAATTATTTATTCAATTTTTCATAGTTTATAGTTTTTAAAATTTTATTGTTTATCTTTATTTATATGTTATCGTCATTAGTATGCCAGAATTTTTAAAGCAAATCATCGCATGTTTTCTAAAATTATCAAGGTAGTTAAATTAAAACCTAACAATTATTTTTTCATATTTTCAAAGCTTTAATAAAATTTAGTTTATAGTTTTATTAATTTCATTCTTTTTTTGTATCTATATGTTGTTCTTGTTCTTAATATATTTGAAATTTTAAATCAATTTATAGTTTGCTTTTTTGCATTACAAAATTAATTGGTTCCTTAAACCTTAAAATTACTTATTCATTTCAGCTGTGTTTTGAAGTTCAGTTTACAATTTACCTACCATAATTTCCGGAAGAAATGCTGCTGCGTTTACATGTTTAAAACTTAAATTTTCAGCGGGTGCGGCATTTCTACCCATGCGGCGTTTAGGTGCACTAAAAATAAAATATTTCCTATGATGGTCGTTGTACATAGTTTGGATGGCCTTGTCATTGTGCATAGACTGGTGCTGTTCCCACACAAAAGTCCACTCAGTTGCTTTTAGCGAACGTTATTTTGTTTACATTCTTTCCCTTGAACGGACCTACATGCCTTATTCACCCTAAACAAGATCTCAGAACAATAACATTCTTTCCCCCTTTCAAATCAACATTCTCATCAAGTTCGAATAGTCTCTCTCCTCTGCCATTCGATGATATCTTCCAGGACCCATCCTCCCCTGCCTTTTCTATTGCCTAAATTCCTGCAATTTTTTTCAAAGGCGGACACTACTCCACCTGCCTCGCAATAACGAACTCTGACATATTTCCCCTTCAGCAATGAATGGATTTTTCTTGGCATTCTGCCAGATACAGATCCCCATCAGTTTTGAGTACAAAGTACTTGTTGAGATAGTTTTTAAGTAAGAAGGGAGTGGAAGATTTTTGAAAATGTCCCTAAACGGCACAGAAGCTATACTGTTGGTTTTAAGCTTAATGTAATTTCACGTGCAAATTGGAAATCAAGCAGCAGCTTGAGAGTTTGAAGTGGACGACAGATGTATTCGACATTGGAGAACTGAAAAAGAACTTCTTAAAAATATGCCACAACAGAAACGAGCCAAAAGAAGTGGTACTGTAAGGTGGCCAAATCTAGAGGACGACCTTGCAAACTGGATAAAGGAGCAACGAGGCAAAGGGAATGGCAATTTTCGACTGTAAAAATTCGTTTACAAGCAAAATTTATAGCAAAACAAATGAACATAAATGATTTCAAAGGAGGGCCTTGCTGGGGCAGCAGATTTATGAAAAGAAAAAATATTTCTGTGCGTACTAGAACAACAGTCAGGCAACAATTACCAATGGACTGGCAGTATAAAAAGTCATCTTTTCTAAAATATGTGACAGCTATTATTGACAAAAAAAAAAACTTCTTCGGTCACAGATAATAAATATGGATGAAACGCCATTAGCTTTCGACTCTCCTGCAAACAGAGCTGTTGATGAAACTGGTGCAAAAACTGTATCTATGTTTATGACGGGGCATGAAAGTACGTCATTTACATGTGTGTTAGCTTGTGCCGCAAATGGTGACAAGCTAAAGCCGATGATCATTTTTAAACGAAAAACTATTCCGAAGGAAGATGGTATGTCATATATCAGGACTTAGGTTGAGTTTTTGCATCTATACGGCCCACAACGATGTCACGCTCAATTTAATCTATTGCGGCATTTCTGTGTGATTTTAATTTTTTTCTCGCCATTTTTCTTGAGTGCGGCATTTACGCTGATGCGGCCTTTCTTCCGGAAATTATGGTAATTAATAATTTTATTGTTTTACTTTATTTATTTTTAGTGGCATCGTTGTTACAGTATTTCCCTACATATTTTCCTCCTCTCTCTGCCCTCCTTTTTTAAAGCAATTTTATCATCTGAAAATGAAGAGGGGGCAAATTATGAAATAATTTTAAATTCTGAAAGCCTCGCTTATAATAAATAAGAAATAACATATCAATAAAAATATACAGTAATATTAATATTACAATATCTAATGGCCTTGATTATAATAAGTAAGAACCAACATACCAATAAAAGTACACTATAATATTAATATTACAATATCTAATGGCCTCGGTTATAATAAATAAGAACCAACATACCAATAAAAATATGCAGTAATATTAATATTACAATATATAATGGCCTCGCTTATAATAAATAAGAACCAACATACCAATAAAAATATACAGTAATATTAACATTACGATATCTAATATCATTATATCTACTTTCTTGTCACTTGAATCTTGTTCATTCTCATTGTTGTTTCTTCTACTGTTAGGTCGCTAGTCATCTATAAGTAATCAGAGAAGGTAAATAGTGCTCAGTGAAACCATAGATCAAATGTCCATTCATGCTTGCTTCACTGTGATGGGCTGCTTTGATTAGGCTGGTATAAAGTTCAGCATTTAAGAGGGAAAGGTTCAGTGCAACATTTGCAGGTCCGAGGGTTTGTTAGTATAACAAATCCATTTAAAAATTTAAGGGAACTCATTCTCTGAATGCATCAAAGAAAAAAAAATTACACGCATATGTTTTAAATTTTCAGAACCTGGCACTAAAAAACTAGGAGGAAAATATGTAAGGAACTATCAAAATTTTTAAATAAAATCATAATTTGTTTTTATGTTTCCTAAAATTAATATTCTTTCTAACTGAATGAATGAACAATTAAATGTAAGGATTTAGTTTGATTTCCTTACAATAACTATTCATCCACTTTTGCTATATTTTCAACAGTGTTCTTAATTTTATTTGTTTTTCATAATGTTTACATTGTAGTCATCATTTGGTTTTTATGTTTTTAAATATATATATATATATTCTTTATTATTTCAGGCTGGCTGAAGAAATGGTCAGATTTCAGTTAAGACATGGAAATGATTTGCTTGCCATGGACGCTTTAAAAGATTGTGATGTATGTATTTTAAATTAGCAAGTATTATGTACTTTTTTACAGATTTTTGCATTTTAAATTTTGGTGTTTGCCCAAACAATGATACAAAGTAGGAGCAATTTAATGTGATTATTATTATTTTATTTATTTATTTAAATTCAATATATTGCAGTAAAATTTTGAATATTTTTTTTTCCAAAATTGCAGAAAGAGAAATTTGGAAATTTATGTTTTTTTATTTAGTTTATTTTCCAAAATTACAGAAAAAAATTTAATATCTCCACCTACCCCCACCAAAAAAAAAGTGTCTTGTCAGCTGATATGCCTGTTCAATCAACCTGCATCTCTGTGGTCTACTATACGCCCCTTCTCAAAGTCCACAAACTGTTCATACTGCTCTGATTATGTCTCAGAGCCATTTCTAGCCACAATACAATCTGCCCAAGTTGGCAAATTCGTTTGAATAAACCTACGGCACGAACAATCATGCTTTTAAACTCTATCAGCTGCACATTTCATATGCTCATAGCCTGCTTACCCTTGTCTCATTGGCATTAAAATTTAAATCATTTGCATATCTCTTACCCTACTACATTTCCAATGAGTTTCATGATTATGGCTCGATTTCTTCTGGGTGCATATATTTTTTTTTTTTTTTTGTGACAGAGTGTATAATGAATGTATTATACATACTGTATATAATGTATGACTTGTTGTATGTATAATAAGTATCAATATTTCAAAATATTTGCTTTCTTCTATTTGTTTAATATTCTAGGTAAACGTAAAGGAACAAGGTCGATTACTCCGCCAGGATGAATTTATCGTTTGGCAGGGTCGATCTCGGAAGTGCATGCGACATGTATTTCTGTTCGAAGATCTCATACTCTTCAGCAAAGCACGTAGAGATCCACAGCGCAAAGGATATGAGATGTATCAGTACAAGCACAGCATAAAAGTATGCACATCTTTATTATTTTTTCTTCAAAATGTGGTTGAAATACATTGTTATTTATAAAAAATTAATAAGTGCTTTTATAAGTAGTTATCACAGTTAGACAACGAATATTTTAATCAGCAAACAGTTGACAGTTTTTAATTTTGAGAATAAGTAGAAATGAATAGTTTTGAAATAATTAATAGTTAGATAATTAATAGTTTTAAAACAGTTAATAATGAAACAATTGTTAAGTAATTAATTAACAGGTATAGTTAGATGGTTAATACTTTAATTATTAAATAATGAGTAGTTAATTGATTCGAGAATCATTAGAAAGTAGCACTAATCATTTTGTTTATCATTACACAATTAATATTTTTGACAGTTAACTGTTATACAATCAATAATTAATACTTTTACAACAGTTAGATAGTTCACAGTTATATTTTGATCAGTAGACAGTTAACAAATTGTAATTTTGGAAATCATTAGATATTGAATAGTTGTACAATAGTTAATAGTCGTAAAATAATTAGAAATTATTACTTAAAAAATCATATGGCATGATTAATAATAGTTCATCATTTTCATGCCAATGAAAAAAGTTATGTATGTCGATTTCTTCAAAATTACAGAACTGTTCAAACCCATCAAGCTTCAAGGACAGAAGATAGTTGCAGGCTAACTGGTGCACCACTGTCATCCAGAAATTCTTCAAGAAGTGAATGTTAGAGGTCGCATGCTCAACAATAACAATGCATCTTCTCGTTCAGCAAGATTGACAGTTGAGTTTCTTCAACTAAAACACTTCAGAATGATAGAACATCCACCTTATTCCACCGATCTAATTATGTATGGCTTTTGCCTACTTTTTAATATAAAATAGAACTTACACAGACATCATTTTCATTCAGAAGATGAGTTTTATGAGGCCATAAGTGCATTGTTTTCATCAATCCATGAAATGAATGGCTTGAAACATTTAATCTTCAGAAAATTTGCCTACAGAAGTGCATTGATGCTGGAGAAGACTATTATGAACACTCCTAAAATTTCAAACTATAATTTTAAAAACATATGTAAATCTCAAAAATTTTAGAGTGACCCTCGTAGAGTTAATAGTTTAAAAAAACATTAATAATTGAACAATTAATAAATTAGTTGATAATTAAACAATTAATAATTTAAATATAATTAGCAGACAGTTAACAGTTATAGTTAAATAATACTTTAAGCATTAAGCCATAGCACTCACCATTTCAAGGCAATGAATAGTATTAAGACAGTTAATAGTTACACAATTAATACTTTTATAACAATTAATAAATATACGGTTCAAAGCTATAGTTTGGTAGGCAAATAATAATTTATAATTTTGAGAATAATTAGGCATAGTGAATAGGTGTATACAAACTGGTAATTGTCTAAAAATAATGAAATATTTTTAGTTAAAAAAAATCATACTTTTAATGGTACACAATTAATAGTTCATCTTCCCAGAATTATCAGACAATTTATGGTTTTTAGATAGTTAATTAATAGTTAGTACTTTTATAGCAGTTAATAGTCTAATTAGTAGGTAAATAATAGTTTGGAATTTTGAGAGTCAGTGGCAGTGAATAGTTAAAATGATTAGATAGTAATAACTTAAAGATCATAGTTTATTCAGTCACTAATAGCTCGCTTTTTTTCAGGATCATTAGAAAACCAATCATTTTTAGACATTTAGTAGTTAAATAATTAATAATTAATACTTTTATATTAGTTAGCAGTTAGATAATATAATTGGCTAATAGTTTAATCAGTTGATAATGGAAATTTGTAATTTTGAGAATTAAACAATAAATGGTTTTGAGAGAGTTAATAATTAGACAGTTTGTATATAAATGTTTTAAATTCTTATTCTATAGATTCACAAAATGTGTGTGCAAAAAGAATACTTGTAGATATACTGTATTTCCATGTGTATTTTTCTTCTTTTCCTAATTAATTTTTATGTTTGAAAATGGGGAGCATAAATTTATGTCCAGAGGACACAGTTACAGTATAACAAATGAAAAGTAGTTGCTAATAAACTACAAGTAGCTATTACAATATTATTTCTTTCAAACAAATCTAACTTCCAATAAGAATACAGAGTAATATTAACATTACAATATCTGATAGACATTGAGCTAATACCTGACAATAAGCTGAACATGCAATGCCCAACTGAATTATCTTGTAAAGCCCGACGATGACTTCACGTGAGGCGCTTTGTTTACTTACATATCCATGTACTAAAAAACAATAATTATTAGTCTTCATGTAAAATAAAATTTCTGGACCCTTAGAAAACACAATGCAAAGTTCGGCATCAGGTAACAGTTTAGAACACAACAAATCACAGTTACAAGTAATATTTGAAACAGAAAATTTAAAAAAAATAATACCAAACATAATATCATAAATTTTGCTTTTTTAAAACATTATTTATAGTTAATAAATGGATATGATAGGTTATTTAATTATGGCAAAGCCTCAAGGGCTATCTGCCTAAGGGAAGGGATGCCTTCGGGGAGGACTTTCTAAGGGAACTGGTTCGTATACACGTTACACATGGGGAAAACCACGAAAACGCCCATGCAGCCAGCCCGTTCGGGGGATTTGTACCTCAGACCGAACTACCATTGTTTAGCGACTTTACCACTCAGCTGCTGGTGGGCCTAACAAATGAATAAACACACAGCTTAATTTATTTTTTAGTCCTGTGAAAATATATATATATAATATACTTTTACAGGTATATACAGTTAAAAGTTGTTAATCCGGACTCGTCGGGACTTCGGCGATTCCAGATTATAGATCATCAGTTTAAATCTGGTGAGATGGCATGCAGAAATTATAAAATTAAAAATATGAAACTGTAATTTATGAAATAAAGAGCAATTATGATCTAAAGGGTATCAAAATTTACAAAAAGAAAAAGCTTAATATTTATTTGTTTACTTTATAAAGTAAACATTTCTTAAAGTCTTAAAAAATGTAAGTTGTTTAAGTTGCTTCGTTTGTGATAATACTTTCTCTTTAATTTATTAAACATACATAATTTCTTGTTTAGTTACAAAGTTCCGCTGTTCAAGTCCTATAATTGCTGTGTCGAGAATGCCGACTAATTTGTCAATCGAAATTTTTTCGTTTTCAATAACCTCTGTGTCACTTTTTTCACTATCGGAAGCGAATTATAATGACGAGGAACTTGATTTAAATCATATCAAAGACAGAGTACTTCGAGATGAAGTACTACATTGAGTAAGGAATTATAAGCCAAATAAAATAAAAACATCTGCCCTGAAGATAAGGATAGTGCTGACAGATCAACTTCCAATTCATTGCGCGCCGCGTCGTTTCCCTCCCCCCGCAGAGCAGCGTGAAATTGATAAACATATTTCCGAATGATTAGATAATCAAAGGATATGCCTTTATCCATTTTTTGCAGCAATTCCACTTTCTGTTTAATGGACTTCAAAACATACTTTCGCTTTGTAGATCCTTTACATATTAATAAATATATATCGGAAATTCTATTTGACATAATCGAAAGTTCAAGCTTACTTTTATAAAATTGCTCTAACAGTCTGCAAACAATAATAAGCCGGATCCAATTCGAAGATTAAGCAACAACGCAATCTGCAACATTAACTGAATTAGATAATTTTAGCTTAGCTTATACCGTCCATTATATATTAAATGCGCATGCGCACACGCATATTCGCAGCCATAAAGGTCTTACGCGCACGCGAAAACGCGCCTGCGTCAACGCTACACATGCGCAGAAAGTTTGTAGCTTTGAGGTCCGGATTATGGGTGTCCGAATTAACGACTTTTGACTGTATTTAGTATGTATAATTAATAAATGAATTACACACAGTTTAATTTATTTTTTAGTCCTGTAAAGTGATTACAATTTTTGCATGCTCAAGCGATTAGTGCTACCATCTCATGGCAGATGCCTGTCCTAACAAGAACCTACATACCAATAAGAATACATAGTAATATTTACATTACAATATTTTATTGATATTGAGCCAATATCTGAGGATAACTGAGCTGGATACATTTCACTTTGTTGCCTTCTAAAGCCACAGGGTCATATTTCATGAATGAGGCTTGGCTGCAGTGCTCAAGAACGACAGCTGAGGAATGAAGGAGAAAAGAGATGAACAAAAAGTACGGATTTTGAAAGAGCGAACACATTGGCAATGGATAAAGCTGCTGTGAGTTGGAACATAAATAACAGAAGAGAGATGAAATTCCATGTTTGTAAATTTTCTCAAATGTGGAAACACCTGCCATGTCCCGAAGGATCAACGAAAAAGTTACACAAAGTGTGTTTCAAATAATAAATGCAAGAGAAAATGAAAATGGTTGAAATGATGACACAAAAATGCAAATATAAATTGAATGAAAGTTAAAATAATCAAGGGAACCAATAAACTAGCCCCCAGAAGGTTGTACAACAGAGGAAGGAGAAAATAATGCAAGTATTTTTTATAGGTAATCATGTAAATATTTTTTTAAAGTGCCGGAACATTTCAAATCAGTGATGGTTCATTTAGATCTTCAGAGGAACATCCAAGAATGATGAAGGCTTCATTCTTTATGATGTAAACTGGAATTTCTAAGAGTGCTGGTACCTTCATTCAAGTCTGTGACTGTTCACATAGGTGTTCCAGCACCTGGATGAAAGTTGCATTCTGTGTAGTAAAAATTAAACTTCATAAAGATGCTACACACTCCTTATGTCTTGGTGAACAAGAGTAACTTGCAAACGATGCTGAAACATTTATTCAAGTCGTAGACTATTGACATCATCAAAGAAGGGTTCAGAAAGTATATAAACAAACTGTTGCTAGGACAACTACCTGAATTTGGCTAACGGCTGTCCATATAAGCATCATTATTAATTTTGCCTACAGTGATGATGTCACAAGGTCTGAAGTTTGTTTATATTCATATGTTACTAGAATTATTTTTAAATTGCCAAGAAGATTTGCTATTGCCAAGAAGCTGCATTCATGACAAACGTCATAATTCATACTGAAACTTTTGGATCTCTTTGCTATTTATCCTATCACACTACAACCAAAACATTTGCTGCTAGCTGGTTAGTTTGTAACATTTGAATCGAAGAATGCAAAAGCGATATTTTTGTAATCTGTAACTTCGCCTGCAGCATCGCTGTTGGCGGAGTTAATAGTGATGCTTACCTGGTCTGTTGATCAATTTCAGGCTGTTGTTCTGGCAATGTACACTTCGCTTGTTTTCATTCTAGAATCTCATTTCTACAATTTGTATTTGGTTTTTTAGTTTATTTTAATATTTATTCAATGTTTTAGTTATTTTAGCATGTCTAGTGTTTTAAATGCTTTAGCTTTTATTTTTCAGACTACAGATTTAGGAATGACTGAACAGGTTGGTGATAGTCCTACCAAATTTGAGATTTGGTTCCGTAAAAGGAAGTTAAATGACACCTTTTTACTCCAGGCTCCAAATCCAGAAGTTAAAGCTGCATGGGTGACAGAATTACGTAAAATACTTGTAAAACAGGCAGTTAAAAACAGAGGTAAGAATTTCATGGAAATTATTTTAGAATTTAATAATTTAGTATAATTGTTGCTCTCTCTTTAATTGATGTAATATATTAATCATTAATACTATGATCGGTCGATAATAGAATAATCCATCAATTAGTTGATAGTATTGATTGATATAATTTGATGATTGATGTAATACTGATGGTATAATAGTATTCAGTGATGTAATATTGGTGACTGACTGATTAATTAATAACAGACTAATATAATGTTATGAATTTTATATGTGTATGTAAGTAAGTTTAGTGAAATGATAAGTAAATTGTAGTATTTCTTGTATAATGTAACACAAAAGACTTCAGAAATGCAGAGTATCGCCAGAAAAATCAGATTACAGGGGTGTAAGTCCATTTAAATGCCAAGTTGATAAGTATTTTTGTGAATTGATAATTTTGTAGCTCAGTTTTCATGACATAGCCAAAAAGTCAGTCGCAAAAATATTTACTAGCTTGTCGCTTAAATGGACAATAGGATTAATCCCTGTAATCCTATTTTGCTGGCAGTTCTTTGCATTTCTGAAGTTTTTTCATGTAACATTATACATGAAATACTACAATTGGTTTTACAACCATTTGGGAACTTAGCTACATTTTAGTTCAATCCTTATGTAACTTTTACTGTATCTGCCCCTGCATAACTGTAACTGTGTATACCTTCCAGCAATTTCAAGAAATGGAAACTTCATCAGACACAGGAAATCTGTATAAAATTGGAGAGAATATCATTCAGTTTTAATTCAGAGCTGAGTTCAGAGTATTGAGAGTATTAAGCACTGTGCAAGCTGATGCATTTGATGCTTTTTATATTGTCTTGTGTTCAACATCCTTAGTAATCGGAAGTGGTAACTACTCATTATGTTCTCTCATACTGAGATCTGTAAGAGTACTTTTGTGTGAAGAGTTACAGAACTGCAAAGTGTTTTTATATAAATAAATTTCATCAAGCTATCATTGGTTTTGTGTGGATTAAATCCATTACGAATCCATGGGCATGTAACAGTTTTTGTTGTCAGGAGTGGGATGGATTGAAGCTGGTGCCAAGAGTGGTGGATGAACGACTAAGATAGCTGATGACAGTATTTGCTGTATTCTAAGAAAAGGTGGAAGGGGTTGTCAACTCCATTAAAGCAGAGATGAAAGCATGTCAACAAAAGATGGAAGGGGCCATCAAGTCTGTTCAAGAAAAGACTGAAGCAGGTCAGGAGGAAATGAAAACAAAAATTACTGCCATAATAGAAAACAAATTTGAGGCTAAGGAAGGCAGAATAGACATGAAGGAACTGAAGAAAGATTTTCTGCTACTAAGTAGCAAATTGATGACAAAGTTTCTGCTGTTGTCGCCAAGGAAGTGGACAGCTTGAAGAAATCCATACAGACAGCTACAAACAATTCTGACAGCTTTAAATTTCTATCTATGTCTTTCTATAGCTATCATTTAAAGTTAAGTTGTAAGAATAAATGAAAAAAGACCTATGTGGTCAAAATCTTGCGCACTGTGCTGCAAAACCAAGGAAACCAGAAGATAAATCCCAGTACGCATGCTAAAAAGTTACCATAAACTGTGGCTCTGTGTAAACTTCAACACAAGCATATTTAGTTGCTATAAAATGTGTGAAAGAGGAGAAAAATTCAATATTTGAATATTTACGAGTAAAATTAATAAAAAGTAAGCCATATGCTAAATGAACCAAGTAATTTTTAACACAGTAAAAAACAAATCAGTTGAACGAGGTAAAATAAAAATAGCAAGCCATATGCTAAACGAATAAAGTAGATTTAAAACCCAGTAAAATACTAATCAATTGATCTAGTTAAAATAGAAAATAAATATTAAAAATTGAGAAGCGGTAAATGGTTAATCAGCCCAATTCGAAGCTCATTTTGGCTCGTCAAAGGAAATTTTTGAAATGAATCTCGAACTAAGCCAACTCCTTTGGAACAGAGAATTGAGACTAAGGTTTTTGACGTAGTTTATTTAATTCATTAAAAAATTGTCGCACACAGTTTTAATTGTCTGTTTCAGCGAAACGCGTAATGGAGTGGCTTAATTCGAGATTCATTTTAAAAATTTCCCTTGATGAGCCAAAATGAGCTTTGAATTGGGCTGATTAACCATTTACCGCTTCTTAAATTTTAATTTTGATTTTGATTTTTTATTTATATTTTTATTTTTACCTAGATCAATTGATTAGTATTTTACTGGGTTTTAAATCTACTTTATTCGTTTAGCATATGGCTTGCTATTTTTATTTTACCTCGTTCAATTGATTTGTTTTTTACTGTGTTAAAAATTACTTGGTTCGTTTAGCATATGGCTTACTTTTTATTAATTTTATTTGTAAATGTTCAAATATTGTATTTTTCTCCTCTTTCACACATTTCATAGAACTAAATATGCTTGTGTTGAAGTTTTCATGGAGCCACAGTTTTTGGTAACTTTTAGCATGCATACTGGGATTTATCTTCTGGTTTTCTATAGCTATCCATATATGATGGAAAGACCTTCTGGCAAGTGTACAAAATTCTGTTAAAAATATGTGTATATGTGCCAGTCCTAATATTTACTTTATGAAAATTGGCAACAGTATTTTTTGTTGTCATTCAGTCCCTATCTGGTGTGCATTGCTGTGGTTGCTTGTTCCCATGTAGCCTAATATTCCCAATATATTTTTTATTGTTCAACCTGGACTATGTCGTTTCTTTAACCCATGAATAACTCACACTTTATCACGTTATCAGCACGAAAAGTTCAAAAGGAAACGCCATTACGATCAAGGATTGAAGATCGCACCGAAGCTTAACCTCGCAGATTGCCGAAGCCTAACCACGTTGTGAATCTGAAGTGAGCGGATAACCATCCTTTGACGAAGTAAACAAAAATATTTTTTGTGAATTTAGCTCGATACATTTACTTGAAGAATGACATCTAAAGATTATAAAATGCCGAAACTAAACGGCGATAATTATCACACATAGTGTATCCGTTCGCATGCCGTGCTGGTGCAGAAGAGATGTTGGAAAGCAGTGGAACCCGGACATGGAATAGAAATGAATGAAGCGGAGAGGAAAAAGAATGATGAAGCTCTTACCCTATCGTTCCTCATAGTTGAAGATACATTTCTAGATGATATCGGAGATTGTATTAGAGCCAGAGATGCCTGGAACTGTTTAAAAGAAATGCATACAAAATTCGGTCTGCTTCATGTACTGCAACTTATGAGAGAATTCTTTAACATAAATATGAAGCCAAATGAGTCCGTCCAATCCTATCTAGCAAGATTAATGGACTATGCTCATCCTAAGTTTGGAAAAAGATGAAGCAAATCTGACAACAATCTGATCATGAAACCAAGGCTACTTGTAGAAGAAAAATGTATAATTAGAAATGAGATTTCAGCCAAAGTGTATCATGAAGAACAAGCTCTTCACACTAAAGGTTTTGCCGCCAACCAGAAGAAGCCTGCATTTTGAAAACCCATGAAGAAGTACGCAGCTAAAAGGCCAAATGAAGAAGAAACTAACAGAGGAAGAAGTACTAAATGCTTCAGCTGTGGCCAGTGGGGGCACATATCTAAAAATTGTGAAGAGGGCAAATATCAGAACCAAAACTGCAGTTGACCTTAAGACAAACATTGCACTTCTGGCAAATGAAGAAAAATCAAGAAAAAGTAATCTGTGGATTTTAGACAGTGGAGCTACAGAACACATGACCTCTGATAAAAGAAAATTCTCAGACCTTAAGAAGTACACATCTGAAGTTGAAGTTGCTAATTCAGAAAGAATAAAGGTCACTGGAATTGGAAATATTTCATTTTCTTTTGGAGAAGAAGATGGAGAAAAAAAGGTCACTATTGAAAATGTCCTACATGTTCCAGAACTAAAGGAAATCTATTATCCATTGGTAGAATTGAAGAAAGAGGCTTAAAAGTAGAATTTGCTGAAGGAAAAGCCAAAGTGATTGGTAAGAATGGAGGTACTCTTTTATCTAGTGAGAAAAAAGGAAGACTATACATAATTGAAGAAAAGATGGCAACTGCCTACACTACAAAAACTGAAAGTGCCGACTTGCTCCATTGTAGACTTGGTCATCCACATTTTTGTACTACAAAAAATATTGTCTCCATCGGCAGAAACCTGAAATCAACAGTATTAGTAAATGAACCTTTCCAAGTTTGTATTCAAGGAAAAATGAAAAGGAAGAAATTTCCAAAAGCCGCTAGTAAAAAAGCTAAAGACATCCTAGAAGTTATACATTCAGATGTTGGTGGTAAAATTTCTCCCCCTTCCTTTGGAGGCTCAAATTACTTTGTGACTTTCATGGATGAATTTTCTCACTATACCACAGCATTCCCTATGAAAGCCAAAAGTGAAGTACTAGAAAATTTGAGGAGTACTGTTGCATGGTAGAAAATCTCCAAAACAGAAAAATCAAATTCTTGAGAAGTGACAATGGTGGGGAATACATAAGTGGAAAATTCGACAAGTATCTCGCTGCGCATGGGATCCAAAGACAACTAACTGTACCCGACACACCTCAACAAAATGGTTTGGCAGAAAGACTGAACCAAACATTGATAAACATGACAAGATGTTTACTTATCGAGTCCGGAGCAGATTACAGGTTTTGGGCTAAAGCAATGGCCACTGCAGCCTATCTCCACAACAAGCGCCCATCTATGGAAATTGATGGCGATATTCCAGAAGAAAGATGGTCAGGGTCTGAAAGCAAAACAGACCACCTCAGAGTTTCCGGATGCAGAGCCTGGAGTCATGTTCGTTCACACTCAAGAGGAAGCAAACTTGATCCTAAAGCTACAGAATGTGTTTTTGTGGGATATCCTAAAGACGTTAAAGGCTATTGTGTGACATGAAGAAGAAACATTTTTTTGTCAGCAGAGATGTCATTTTTGAAGGAAATGTTTTCCCCTTAAAACTAAGCAAGTGTGACAATCCTGCAAAAGAAGCTGCTCTTAAAATTGAAGACTTTGAATCAGAATATCCCTTGGACCTACCTGAAACAGAAGCTTGTGACTCATCTCTAGATCACATAACTCCTGAACGTAAATGACTTGATGAAACCGAACGTCTAAATACAGATCCTATTGACCAAAATTTCGAAAGATGCCCAGACATACAGCTTGGAAATACTCCCAGATTACGAAGATGAAGGCCAATCAGTTACACAAGATACAAGACGTTGCTAACAACCTAGACCCTGATCCCGAAGTCTAAGTAGCAGCAGCCAGAAAACCCTACCCATGGGAGTGAGAGAGGTGAAAAAAAGAAAAACCAAAATTCCTAAACATTTCAAAGATTTTTATCTGTACGATGCCCAAGAGATAAAACAATCTGAAGAAAAGGATCCAGTAACTCTAAAAGATGTCCTGAAATCACCCGAAGCTGACATGTGGTTGAAAGCCATAGAGGAAGAAATTCAAAACCTCACTCAGGCTCAAACTTGGGAGCTAACTACGAAACCACAAGGAGCTAAAGTAATACCATCCAGATGGTTGTTTCATAAGAAAAAAGACGAGATTGGGAAGAGCAAAGTTCAAAGCTAGATTGGTAGCAAAAGGCTATCTGCAAATACCTGGAGTGGACTTTCAAGACACCTTTTTAACCAGTCATCAAACTTAAATCTATAAGGTTACTGCTTGCCATAGTTGCAGAGGAAAACCTAGAGGTTCACCAAATGGATGTGACAGCTGCATACCTTAATGGAATCCTAAAAGAGGATATATACAGTCAAAAGTCGTTAATCCAGACTCGTCGGGACTTTGGCGATTCCAGATTATCGATTTTTCCAGATTATAGATCATCAGTTTAAATCTGGTAAGATGGCATGCAGAAATTATAAAATTAAAAATATGAAACCGTAATTTATGAAATAAAGAATATTATGATCTAAAGGGTATCAAAATTTACAAAAAAAAAAAAAAAAAAAAAAAAAAAAGCTTAAATATTATTTGCTTATTTTATTAAACATTTCTTTCAGTGTAAGTTGTTTAAGTTGCTTCGTTTTATGTGATAATACTTTCTCTTTTAATTCTATAAACAGACAACATAATTTCTTCTTCAGTTACAAAGTTCCGCTGTTGAAGTCCTATAATTGCTGTGTCGAGAATACCGACTAATTTGTCAATCGAAATTTTTTCATTTTCAATAACCTCTGTGTCACTTTCTTCACTATCGGAAGCGAATTATAATGAGGAGGAATTTGATTTAAATCATGTCAAAGACGAAGTACATCAAGATGAAATACTACATTTAGTAAGGAATTATAAGCCAAATAAAATAAAAAGATCTGCTCTGAAGATAAGGATAGTGCTGACAAATCAACTTCCAATTCCTTGCGCGCCGCAGCGTCCCCCCGACACAGAGCAGCTTGAAATTGTTAAACAGATTTCGGAATGGTTAGAGAAACAAAGGATTATGCCTTTTTCCATTTTTTGCAGCAATTCCACTTTTTGTTTAATGGACTTTGAAAGATACTTTCGCTTTGTAGATTCTTTACATATTAGTAAATATATATTGGAAATTCTATTTGACTTAATCGAAAATTCAAGCTTACTTTTATAAAATTACTCTAACAGTCTGCAAAAAATAATAAGCCGGATCCAATTTGAAGATTAAGGAACAACGCAATCTGCAACATTAACTGAATTAGATAATTTTTGCTTAGCTTATACTGTCCGTTATACATTAAACGAGCATGCGTAAACATATTATGCGCATGCGCGTAAGTTTGTAAGTAAGAAAGTTTGTAGCTTTGAGTTCCGGATTAGAGATCATTCCGGATTATGGGTGTCCGAATTAACGACTTTTGACTGTATATGGCACAGCCAGAAGGCTGCATTGAGAAAGGGAAAGAACACCTTGTCTGCCACCTGAAGAAAAGCATTTATGGTCTTCGACAATCAGGATGTGCATGGAATACTTGCTTGAACGACTTCCTGATCCAGTATGGATTGAAAAGATCAAGTGCAGAACCTTGTATTTATTTTTGTCATGAGAAGAACATCATAATTGGAGTTTATGTTGACAACCTCCTGATAGTTGGAAACATGCCAGAGATAAATGAATTCAAGGAAGCGTTAAGAAAAGGTTCAGTGTCAAGGACCTAGGTCCTGCAAGCCAGATCTTATCCATGCAAATATGCAAAGAAGAAAATGGATCATACACACTAGATCAAATCCTTTATGTATCGGAAATCCTAGAAAACGTTTAAAATGACTGAAGCAAAATGGGCATCCACGCCATCGGACCCCAGCATAAAACATAAGAAGGTAGATGAACAACAGTGGGAGGAAATCAAAGAAAACAGCAAGGAAATCCCTTACGGACAAGCTATAGGAAGTCTCCTTTATCTGACCTGTGTTACTCATCCAGACATGGCTTATTCTTCCACCTACATAGCCAATTTAATGAAAAACACACTGAAGAACACTGGAGAGGTGTGAAGCACATTCTAAGATACCTAAAGGGAACACAACACAGAAAGTTGAGATTCCAGAAGACAGGTGAGCCACTTCAAGTCTACTCAGACGCTGACTGGGGAGGTGGAAGAACTGACCGTAAATCTTACAGTGGTTATATAATGCTACTCTCAGGTGCTCCAATCTCATGGTTGAGCAAGAAGCAATCCACAACAGCTTTATCCTCGACAGAAGCAGAGTATGTGGCAATGTGTCACGCTGCCAAGGAAATCCTATGGATTAAAAATTTGATCAAGGAAATCTGTAGTGAATTAGCTACTTCACCTCAAAAAGTGCTAGTCGACAACCAGGGAGCAATCTTCTTAGCCAAGAACCATGTTACTTCTGAAAGAAGTAAGCATATCGATATTTAATTTGATTTTCTGAGAGACCTAGTGAAAGAAAATGTGATTATATTTGATCATGTGCCATCCAGCGACAATCTCGCTGATCTCTTAACTAAGCAGACCTCGAAAAAACTTTTACATGACATGAACTATGCCGGGACTTGCATGTAAAAATGATCTCCTTTGAAGTTTGTGACTGAACATAAACCATTATGATAGTGATTGTGTAGAGACTTGACTTAAGATTTCAGAAAGAAGCCTAGATATAAAATTTTCTTAATTGTTTTCATATAAACATTGTGTTTTCTAGTATAACTTAATATGTGTCATCTTTAATAATGTAATTCATAAGTAGAGGTCGATAGTGTTTATGCATGTAATAGCACTACATTGTTTTTCTGTAAATGTGTACAACCACAGCGTGATTAATTTTTGTGAAGTATGTAAATATCTTGCAAATAGTGTGACTGGCAAGGGGGCATGTTAAAAATATGTGTATATGTGCCATTCCCAATATTTACTTTATGAAAATTGGCAACAGTAGTTTTTGTTGTCATTCAGTCCCTATCTGGTGTGCATTGCTGTGGTTGCTTGTTTCCATGTAACCTAATATTCACAATATATTTTTTATTGTTCAACCTGGACTATGTCGTTTCTTTAACCCACGAATAACTCAAACTTTATCAAATTCAGTGTTCTATAGTGGTGAACACAAATAGATGGAATTTTCAAATTAAGGCCTGCCATCTTGCCGCTTTGAGAAAGATGCAATGGATATGCTTGAAACTCTACTTGAAAATCAGAGGCTAGACTTTGGAGCTCTATTTAGTGTGTCTGTTCTTTGGCAAGAAGTGTTTAAAAGACTGTAGTAGACTTCAGCTAAAATCTCGCCAACAGAGGCCTACAGAAACACTCCGGGAACTTGCCACAGATGTTGAAAGAATTGAATGATGTTCATTGAAACTTTTCAGACTACCCAAGGGAAACAAGGGAAATCAGGTCACTACAGTACTTCATTGATGGCATCAGGAATCCTGAGTATAGAAAGCTCTCTAAATGGCAGATGTCAAAGATCTAAACATGCTGTAGTGTATACCATGAAACCAGCAACAAACTCTTTAAGAGACTGCTACCCAGTCAGAGCTGTTCATGTCCAGGATACAGTAGATCAAGTGACTGCTAGTGTAGATGATTTAACTAGGCAAATCAATACATTGAGATGGAATATGAGTGGAGACAGGTTGATCCTGAAGTGCTGAAACTGTGGTGCAGTATGATCCTAAAGTGCTGAAACTCATGCAGAGGAACTGCAGAACACCTCAAGGTACATGAACTGAGACTGCTTCCAGCTAGTAGGAGAAGAAAATGATTAGTCACCATCTTGCAGGACAGAGGCTGCCCAGATATTGAGAAGCCCCATTTTAAAGTTCTTCATATTTCTGCAGTGCGTGGCAATAGTAATGGATTTTTCCTCATGGGACATATAAATAGAATTCCTTACACTATTATTATTTAGTACATTAATAATTTTGATGATTCTGAAAATCTGCAAAATATTAATTGCATACTGATTAAAATATTAATTCTATAACTATTAAGTGTCTAGCCATTAATTATTAATGGTATAACTATTAACTGTCTCAAAACTGTTGATTGTTTAATGATCCTCAAAATGTTGAGTGCTATTTTGTAATGATTGTCGAATTCATTTTCTATTAATTGTCTACTCTTTAAGCTATTAGTCATCTAACTGTAACTATTAACTATATATTAATTATTATTAAACTATTAAAGGTAAATTGTTTTTAAACTATTAACCATAATTTTTGTAATTATTAACTGTCTCAAATTTATTCATTGTCATTCTGAAAACTAGAAACTATTGTATAGTAATTAAATTTTTAGCTATTAATTTTCCAACTGTGAACTGTCTCAACTAATTGTATAATGGTTCTCAAAATTACAAACTATCATTTGTTTACTGATTAAACTATTTACTATTTATTATCTAATTATTAATTGACTCAAGTAATCAGCTTTCTGCACAAGTGGATAGTCTAATTTATAAATTTAATTAAAAAATTTTTAATTTAAATTTTATTTATATTTATATAGAAAATCGCCTTGCCGAAATGTCATCCATGGGAATCGGAAACAAACCGTGTCTCGATATTAAACCCAGTGAAGACCAAATAAGTGATAGATCTATCAGCATTCATCAGTTAGCAAGAGGTAAGTGTAAAATAATTTTTAGCAATGTAAATTCTAATAGAAACATAAATTTCCTTGAAAAATTACCAGTGTGTAAGATATATGTGTTTATGCTTGTGTAATTCGAGTCACTGCTTTTCAGCTCCTCGATTCAGAAATTCCATCGCAGTGTCGCCTTATGACATTCATAATAACAGGAATTCCATCATATCTGTGAGCTCGTCGTCTTCTTCGGGTAGCAGTCAGTCTTCGTTTTCATTCTACGGAACGCTGAATCTTGGGTTCGAGCCTGGAGACAGTCCTAGACCTCTGCACAGATCACTAACACAACAGTCTCAGTGCTCTACAGGTAAAGGACTTTTGTTGTTTTGTTGGCTATATAAATGCAAGACAAACTAAACACAAATCTAAACAGTAGCAAAGAAAGCAGGTACCAGTCTAAACAATAACAGGAAAAACAATCTAAATACTGAGAAAAAACATTTAAATGCAATCTATTTTGTTTGTTACTCAAAACGTCTCATTTTCAAAGTTCGAAATTATTTATCGTCTAGTAATTACACTATTCATTGTTAATTCTCTATTCCTTAGATCTCTCAAATTATTGTCTAATAATGCTCAAAATGGCAAACTATCAACATTTTCCTGATTATACTAATAACTATTAATTGTCTAACTATTACTAGTTATTTTCAAAGAAAATTAGCTTAATTCAAAAAGTATGATTGTTCACTTAGGTATAATCAAAGCAAAAATGTGCTATGTTTTTATATGGTGTTAGTGATACCCTTCATATTCAGTTAAACTTTGGTTAAATCTTCTGGGTTTCCACCCTTTACCTTAAACTAGTGGTTTATGAATTTAGGTACTTACGTATTATCGCAACCAGGTTGGCGCGATTTGCAAATTTGAGTAAAAAAGTATGAATAGAAAAAAAATGTACATTTATTAATTACAGATAATTTTTAATACAGTTTTTTATATTATTTTGTTTTAAAATATAAAATAGCAATTAAACCCTTCCGGTTTTGAATTTGAATAAGTTGCAGAATTATATTTTCGGCGGAAATTTTTTGGCTATTGCTTTTAGCACTGATTGAAAACCGTCTTCACCATTAACAGCTTGAGCTTGGCGCCATATAAATTCGATAAGGTATGAGTCAAGATGATGACGGGCTGTTCCTCTGTGTTTTTTGTTGCGCCATTTGGCTGAGCCCCACATGCGCTCTACTTGTTGTGTGTGAACGCCCGTGTTGGGATCCACAAAGTTATATTTGTGATTAACAGTTCCATGCAGAAATCCAGCATTTTCGAACTCACTTGTATTGTATCCTTTCCAGCAATCCGAATAAATGATGATGCTTCCTTCCTTTATATTTTCGCAAATTTTTTTCATGAGGGTAACGGCGCTTCTGTTAGGTATAGTAACCAAAAAAGTCTCTTTCTTTTCTCGACAAATTCCGCCGAAAACCCATTGCTGTAAAATACTCATAGTTAAAGTATTTCAGGGCATTCAATCTAACCAATAAGAAAAATAATTTCTTTACAAAAAACTACGTATAACACGTAGGGTTGTCGTAAGGAAGGTCGCCAAATTTGGCGATTTATGCGAATTTTGGCCTGGTTGCATTAATACGTAAGTACCTGAATTTATTTTTAAAGTTAACAGTTACTTTATAAGTTTTATAAATTTATTTCAAAAGTTAACAGTTACTCTTTACTGTCTAATTGTTAAATATTATGAAAGTATTAATTATTTGTTGCTGTTAAATGCTTGAAAGCCATTTAGTGAATTTTTCTGAAAGTGATGAACTATTAATTGTGTACTGATTAAACCAGGGTAACTGATTAACCAAATATTTTCAGTATGCTACACTCTACTGGTTATTTTTTCATGGTGGTCTACTTGCAGTGTTTCTGTCGTAAGGTTAATCAGGCACAGAAAGAAAAACAGCATTTTATTGAAAATGTATAATAATTTTAATTGATAAGAAAACATACAAATCAAATACAAATAAGAGAAACCTTCAGTAACAAATTAGAAACTCATTTAGAGGTGAGCTTGTTGATTCTCTTACAGTTTTTCAAATCACGTAAGATGGCTTGATACACTTATTCTAATTTCTTGCTCCACACTGATTTTTGAATCTTATTTGGTCACTGATTTTCGAATGTTATGACACCTGAAAACCAAGCTTTGTGTAGATAGGATGTTGCAAAAGGACTTTAGAACTTAAAGTTGGAAACTCAATTTTGATTGAAGTCCCAAAACTCTTATTAATTCTGAGCAAATACTTTTTATTTATAGGCTGTTGCAAGAGCATCCAATAAATTCTCTTCATCTTGTGGATGAAAAGGATCTTGGATTAACGTAAATTTCCCTACATTATCTTTTGCAAAGTATTTTGCAAACCAGTCAGTAAAGTAATAAGCTTTGAAAGGTATTCCATGAAAAGGAACAGCACTTCCTATACAGGGTTCGTAGCGATACTTATAAGTGCTTATAAGTCCTTATATTATATTTGAAAATAAAATATAAAAGCCCTTATAGGTGCTTATAAAGCACTTAATTTTTTGTTTTTAGTGCTTATTTTTATTGCTTTTAGTGCTTTTTTTTTAACAAATGCACATTTTCCCCCGTACCAAAGCCGAAACTAAATAACTTTTCTTCCTTATATGGAACGTCAGATGGTGAATCATACTCCCAGAAATAGCTTTTCGTCCCTTTTTCTGCATTAACATAATCTTTGGTGCGTCCGAGTACAGACAAGTGCACATCGTTTTATTGGTAAACAAATTGCGAAAGCGGTAGAAAATTCTGGTACATTCTGTATTCTTTTGCTCCTACCCAATACTACACGCATTTGAATTTCTATCAAGATTTTAATAATTTACATTCTCATTCCGCCTGGCCAGTTCATATTCGCGTTTATTATGATCGGTATGCTTATATTATGAGCATATGTGTGAATATTTATAATAATATATTTACAGTAATTGCTGAAGTATAGATAAACTTCAAAAATGGTAAGTGTGTTTTAACACAGATTAGTTCTCTAAGGAAATGGCATAAATAAAGTAATCAAATAGTCAAAAAATATTTTTACGCCAATGCATTATACAGTAGGGAAGTTGGGGGTTGTCTTTCTCTGCAAAATCTCAAATATTGAAACCATTACAGTTCGCAGCAAATCAAGCAACGGACCTTTTTTTTTTTGTCACTTTCAAACTTGAATTGAATAGGACTAAAAGTTCTGTGGTTTACCAACCCAAGCGAAGAATGATTCTATTCTGGAAATTTAACGCAGTCTGTTCAAAATTAGAATGAAAAACACCCCCAGATTGCTAAATCTCTTTATTAATCAATATGAGTATGGCAGGGATATCGCGTGGAGCACAATGTGTCCTGCTCAATGATAAATATGACACATGGGCGCATGATGGTTAAAACCGGACAAAGCAAAGGGGCGTTTTCATTTATTTAGTTATTTATTCTCCAAATACCGAGAGCTGTTGATTCCAATTGCATAATATTACGTGTCGAAGAATTAAAGCAGACGTATTGTGCAATATCATTTGCGATAGTTTGCAGAGATAAGAGTTTTACTGTGCTTGCTAAGCAGATTATTTTTCAGTTCCATTGCACCATTTTTTATATGATGACATATCAAAATGTCAAAAGCATTATTTAGCTGAAAAGTCTAAAGAACGGCTACAATCTACCCCCTTTCCTCTTTTATCAGTTACCCTCGACTATTCGGAATTTTCAGATATTCGGCAATTTCCAAGTATGCCGGTTAGTTAAGCTTTTACTGTTAAAAGATGACTGCTTGAAGCAATTTCCCATCTTCCGATTTCAGAAATGTTCCTTTTCTTACTTATTTTTACTGAAATTACTTTGCTTGCAATATCTAAGGGAAAACTGCTATACAATGAAAATTTAGAAAATGTTCAGAATTTTGATTTAAGTTAAATTATTTAAATATTAATATGAGTTGAAAAATAAATTTTATAAATTTTATTTATTTTTAGGTGCCAAGCGAATATAATAAATATGGCTTATTATTATTTATTTTCTCTATTTTAAACTGAAATTTCATCGTTAAGTCTTGTAATATAATTTAGTTCTGCATAGTTTTTCCCCCTCTCATTGTAAACTAGTTCTGTAAATTGAACTGTTATTAAAAATTTAAAAAAAAGAATGTAATTGTTTTTCATGGCTGAGTAATGCTCATTCTCTCTTAATAAATACTGAATTTCTCATATTTTAAATTACAAGTCTAATTTTTCTTTTAAGGTTATGCAGTTGTGTATAATGTAATTAGACAGGTGCTTATTTTTTTTATTAAAATTTGCTTGAAAAGTGCTTATAGGTGCTTATTTTTTTAACTAAAATGTGGCAATGAACCCTGCTATGGAATTTAATTTTATATATTGGTACACTGGAGAAAAACAATCTCGAGCACCATCATCATTCAATTTTTTTTAATCCACAACTGCAGCTTTTTCCTGAGCACTGAAATCTTTTCTAATATGTGCATACATCGCCCTGTAGTGATAGATTCAAGACCTTTAAATTGTCACAAATGCTGCCCTAGAATGCTAGTGTCAGCAGAAAATCTGATTTGCAAAATACTTAGCAATCACATGACCTTGCTGTTGCAGAAATGTTTGGATTTTTTTATGCAGTTCAAATACATAAGATATGATGTTATCATGTGAAATCCATTGTGAACTGCAATAGTATAGCAGAGCTGTGGGTTCAGCTTTTATGTCGTAGCATTGTGTTTTAAAAAGAACTTACTTTCAACTGTCTAGTTTTTATATATTTCTATATGTCTGATGCATTCTAATCCTCAATTGCTTAGTCATAGTAATCGCTTAGTTCTCAGTTGAGTTTTCAATTGAGGACTAAGTGACTTCGATGCAAATGCTTCCCAGTAGATAATGCAGTGGGTTGACACAGCATGCAGTGTTTTCCTGCAAATAAATACCTGCAGTCTTCTATAGTGCCCAGACATTGATCAAGCACCATCAGTATGTACACAGATACACTTTTACCGATTTAGATCATTTTTCCTTATAAACTTACCAAGAATTTTGAACAAATTCCTTTGCATTTTCGATGATGCTCTTTCAGAACAGAAGATTTTCAATTATAATATCATTCAGGAAGCGTACATAATGTATGATTTGCATCTTTATTGCTGTCAGTAACCTCATCTAGCTGCAAACCGAGGTCATTTTCTCTATCAACTTATCATTGAGATTCTCAGCTATACATTGAATTCTTCATCTAATAGTTTTGTTGGATACAGGTACTTTAAAAACGAGTTTTCCCACCATAATATTTACTATATTGAGAGCACCTCTTCTGCAAATGCGTACGGTACTGTACACTTTGCCACTCTGTGAGCTACCTTGTAAGACAGTAGCTGTGCATTACTCAAAACTGACACTTGTTTAGCGAGCACACTGCTTTGTTTTTGTAAATCTTGCAACTTCCTACTGAAAGATAAGTGAGATTTCTCGACCAAGGTTAGGGTGGATGGTCTCAAGATGTCGCTTTAGCTTACTTGGGTGCATACTTAATGCAAAGATTTTTTAAAGAGACAGCACAGCTGTCATCATTGTCTTTCATCATTGTTTACTTCTACTGAAGTAAAACAAAATCAAAGTAACTTTCCTTGTAGTTATGATATTTTTGCCTCATTTTTTTCTCAGCCAACTGTTGAAGCCTTGTCACTCACTTCACTACTAATCCACTTAAACCCTGTTTGTTTGTTTAATAAAAATCTTTTCATTTTGTGAAATATCACTAAGGATTAGTCAATTTATGCAATATTTTATCAAAATCAGACTTTTTTTTTTTTTTTTTTTTTTTTTTTTCCCAGAGACTTATAAGAATATACTACCTTCCCATCCATTCTTGAGTTTGATACTGACAGTCACAAAAACATACAGAAAAAAGAAACGCCAACATTTGCCACTGCTGAGAAGCCAAATGTAGCAGCAGTCTTGTGACAGGAAGTAATAGGTGCAAAAAATCTGTGAGAATAAATGAAGTACAATCTGCTGCAACAACATAGAATTATTGAAAATTGGAAGAACTAAGTGATAAAATAAATTGGCACTTTAAAAAACAAAATTGAGAGTAAGAATTACTTTAGATTAAAGGAAGAAATTTATAAATATAATTTAAATGGAATTAGATGACCAATTGAAATATAAATATTGAGAAAAAATTGAGGAACTATTAACATATAATTAATAAAATATACTGCTAAACTTTCAGTTCAAGTCTTGTCTGTCCATGAAGAAAGAAAGGGGTGCCCTGGGCCTTACATCACGACACCCCAAGGTGGCGCACACTTTGAGGACCCCTTGAATAAACTGTGATAACTATTAATATGTAATTAATTTTAGGCTATTAACTATTCTTAAACAATTAACTGTTAATTGTGTAACTTTTATAGCCTAATGAGTTTTAAATTTACAAAGTATTAATTGTTTACTGATTGAACTATTAACTGTCTAACTATTGTAGTGAAACCTGTTCCTTTCGACCAAGCACATTTGTGCCTCAGTAGGTAAGACATCAGATTCTGAAAGCAAAGGTCCGGACCCGATTTCGAAATCCGTCAAAAACAAATAACCTAAAAACTGATTTTGTTTAAATTTTCTTCCTATTAATTTATTAGACCAGAAGGGCTATTAATTTCATTTTGGCATTTTGTAATGATTCACTATAAATAGCAAATCACTTTTTAAATTATTGCCACCAAATACAGTACAAAGTCCATAATCTGGACATCCATTATCCGGAGTGATCAATAATCCGGAGTTTAAAGCCTCAAACTTTTTTTCTGCATGCTTTACACATGCGCATGCACTTTGGGAGGATGTGTCTCCAAATATGTAAAAAAAAAACCATGAAGATGAAAGGTGCGAATTTGAATGTTTTCGGGCAAGGCAAACTAAAGGTGAAATTTTCCAGTTATTGGATTTCGTAAAGAAATGTGGAGAAGTGGTAATAAATGAAGATGATATAAGAGAAATTTTTCATTGCGACAACAGTGCCCCAATCATCAATCAATTAACGGATGGCGAAATCTGTAAAGTATGGTTCTAGATCCAGAAAATACCGCTTCCGATAGTAAAGAAAGTAACAGAAAGGTTATTGAAAATGAACAAATTTTGATTGACGTTAATCGGCATTTTTGACACAGCAATTACAGGACTTTGTAACTGAACAAGAAATTATGTCTGTTTACAGAATTAAAGAGAAAGTATTAACACAAAAAAACGAAGAAACTTAAACAACTTACATTGAAAGAAATGTTTAATAAAAAGTAAACAAATAAATATGAATCTCTCTCTCTCTCTCTTCTTTTTTTTTTTTTTTTTAAATTTTGATACCTTTTAGATCATAATTGCTCTTTTTTTCATAGATTACGGTTTCATATTTTAATAGTATAATTTCTGCATGCTATCTTACCAGATTTAAATTGATGATTTATAATCCAGAAAAACCCCTAATCTGGAATCGCCAAAGTCCCGACGAGTCCAGATTACAGACTTTGTACTGTATTAGAGCCCTGAATTTTATATTTAAAGAAATTAAATAATGAAGAATCTCCATAAATGTATGTATGTTTCTCGCATTGGGATAAAACAACGGTACCTAGAACCATCCAAGTTTGAATGACTTCCCTCGAATATGGGCATCTGGAAACCCAAATTTGGAATTTATTTTTATCATCTATTTCATATTTTGTAAAGCATTTATGAGTTTTTGATTAAGAAACTAAACGATTTCAAAGCGAGTACCGGCGATACTGTATGAGGGGAGAACGTTTTTATCTCCAGTGCAGGAGACTGTGTTGGAAATTCTAAAGATGAGCTGTTTTAAATATTTTGTGATATTGCTGTTGAATTGAATTGTATGGTTTACACACAAAAAACAAAACATTAAAAAACGCATCTTTAGACATAATTTAAAATCTGAAACCTTTCAATCCCCCCCTTTATGTTCTATTTATTAGAGAATGAACTCCATTTTCTCGAACCTTCTAAGTCTGTAATATTCCAGCTCATTCATCAAGTATATGTAAGTTGTTACTTGATCAGTTGCAATAATAAAATCTTGAGCTGAGACTTGAGTACTTTCCTATTAATTTGTACTAATCACTTCATCTGTGCGACAATTTGGTGAAAGTGCTGGGTAAATCAATTGCTATGGAAGAGTTACACTGAGGCTTACATATTCAAGGACTTCTTTGAGTCTTGTATCCTACAAGATTCTAATAGAAGATTAAGGAAGGTGGTTGATGGGAAGGAAACCAACCAGAAGGCCTCAGCAAGAGCTAGCTCTGCTCTGAGTAACATCATACCAAATCTGACTTACCAACTACCCAGAAGCCCCTGTATATTCACTGGGGACAACCAATAAAATACCTACAGGTGGCTCAAAGACTTTAATTCAGTCACTACCTATAACCACTGGAAGATCAAATGTGATTTGTGAACAGCATTTTTTACCTCGCCCATAACCAGTCATTGAGCTGTAGTTCAATAATAATGAAGACACTTTCATTGGTTGAATTGTTTTCAGAAACACTCTGAAAAACAAATTTTGTTGTATAGCTGCTATAAAGCATCAAGCTGAAAGACAACTACTTACATGTGCACACCAATTTGATGAGATATCTGAAGCTTACCTTCAAGATGGACTTGCTCTTTGCCGAACGACTAACCTCTTGATGCCTGAAGACGAGAAGGTGGCCCATCTCATGAAGGGCATTGCCAAGAACTTGGTCCTGTTGTCTCAGCAGTATTGATGACTTAAGGTCTATGATGAATGGCATCATCAGGGAAAAGCTACAGAAGGTCCTGCTACAAGTTCAGTGGACAAGGCCGACAAACCGAATGAGCCACCAAATGACATCGCATGTGTGGTTTGGGAGGAAGTTGTAGAGGCTCACATATGTAGGAAGCAATACTACTCTGTAACGCTGTAGCCAAGACATGAAGGCAGCAAGAGTGCCACTCCACAACATAGGACAGACATGTGGAGGACAAATAATAATGCTCCTCTCTGCTACCATTACTAACCAAATAGCCTATTTACAGTTAATTGTGTAACTATTAGGAATTAACTGTTGTTTTCATCGGCAAAGAGTAAGTGTACAAAATCTGAACTCGATGGCTTATCAGGAAGTAGGTCAAGAATTCTAACCAAAGTGAAACATTCTAAATTAACTAAATAAAAGCTTAAAAAAGATAAGCATGATAATGTTTTTCGGATAGAAGGTGGGTGACCCAAATTGAAAAAAGGAACAGGAAGAGATGAAAGCAAGTGGCTTTTTACACATTAGAATATTATTTTACATATATGTAAGTATTTATTTATTTCCTTCTTTGTATTTTTCCAGAAAGTGGCTTCTGTACAGATGCCAGCACTGCCGGTGACACTCCTGAAAATGAACACCTCCATCATAAGAGGGCTGAAAGGAGTGACAGCCTATTGTCAAGTGATTCTTTATCGACTAATGTATCCCCCACCGAAGCTCCTTATATTATTAAATACGAGCAGTCATTAGAAGAGGTATGTTTGAAATTTTAATATAATTGTATTTTTTTAGGCTGTTTAGAATTGGAATTTTGTTTTCATGTAAACGTGGTTAACATGGTCAGTCTTCTGACACAACATCTTCTAAATTTCTTTTTTGGGGGCTATGTTATAGACATTACCTACAAAACAATGGTTCCTGATGTTTTGAGCTTGTGACAAGACATCACAGATGCCATTTGGAGAATGAAATCAGAAATGTTGAATTACGTGCTGTGTGGAACTAAATCTTTGCTCTATATTGAGTATATTAGTATTATGCATTATAAGTATATTATTAGTTATAATGGTACTTCATTATTATACCGGATCTCCAAAATTTAATCCCTATTCAACACGTAGTGAGGTATAAGAGCACATGGGTAAGATTTTGGTGAGATACCTTGGCTGATTAGTGATTCAACATCTATAGTAAGGAAGTACCGTTATATTAATGTTGTTATTAGTATATTATTGTATGTATTATTAGGGTATTATTATCAGTAGTATTAGTGTTATTATACTAGGCATTTTCCCCAAAGGCATGAAAGAAATTCCAAACCAATATAAAATTTCCCTAAATATGTAAAAATGAACCAAAAATCATCAAACCAATAGAAATACAGAGAAAGAAAATACAAAAATAAAAACGTACAGCCAGAGGAAGGCAATTAATATCCGATTCATTTTTATCAAGATGATTTAGACCAGATGTAATTAAATTCCTCTTCATACACAATAAAATTTATATGCTTTTAAAAGCTTTATGACACATTTACTAGATAATGCTTTATAAGAAAGATATACTGTATTTGACAGCATATAAGACGCACTTTTTTTCCTAAATTTGGTCTCAAAAAAGTTACCTGCATCTTATGCGTGAAGGACGCAGGTTAAGTTTCAATACTGAATGCTATTTTTAGCCTGGATAAAGATCTAGACACACATAACGTTTTCTACATCTGCCATAGTTATTTTTCGCATGCATGAAATATCTGTCACCAAAAAGTGCCAAAGCTCGAAGCTGGTGTCGAAGTTCAAACAAGTTCGATGATCACATTATGTCTATGGAGCCTTTCCTTCTTTACATAGACTTTCTTTGACTCAGCCGACACATGTTCGGTATTGGTGCTACTGTGTATAAACGTGTTGGTAGCGGTGCTTAAAACTATCTGTTTAAAAAAAAAAAATACCCTGTAAAATATGACTACAGGAAACAAGAGATTAAGCTATACAATTCAGTATAAACTAGGAGTGTTAAATTACGTCAAAGTTCATGGAAACAGAGCAGCAGCAAGGCATTTCTGAATTACCGAAAAATTGATATGTACTTGGCGACTGCAGGAAGGTCAACTGAAGACTGCTAAAAAACAAAAACATAACCTTCGATGCCCAGCTCCATCGTGGCCTGAACTTGAAAATGCCGTAAAAATGTGGGTGGATAGATAAGAGGAAATCTGGGATAAGTGTTTCAACCAAAATGATAATCAATGAGACCAAAGGATTTGCAGAAAAACATGGGAATCAGAACTTTTCAGGGTCTGAGGGCTGGTGCTACAGGTTCATGAAAAGACAAGGCTTATCAATGCGCACAAAAACAACCATTGCACAGAAAATGCCAGCAGATTATGAAGAAACAATACTAACATTTCATAGGTTTGTTATAAATGCACGCAAGAAAACTTCTTTTGAGCTTGGTCAAATAGGAAATATGGATGAAATTCCACTCACATTTGATGTACCATACATCAAGACTGTGAGTATTAAAGGGTGTAAATCAATAACCATAAAAACCACAGGTCATGAAAAAAAACCTGATATACGGTAGTTCTAACATGTGGTGATGGCACAAAACTACCGCCATTTTTCATATTCAAAAGGAAAACTCATCCGAAAGAAAAACTTCTAACGGGTGTAATTGTTCATGTTCATCTGAAAGGCTGGATGGACGAAGCTGGAATGAAATTGTGATTATAGAACGTATGACCTGGTGGTCTCTTAAGAAAACCCTCTGTTTTGGTTTTGGATCAGTTTAGCGCCCATAGAACTGAAACCATAAAGAATAAAGCGAGAGAATTAAAAACCCAGATAGCTGTCATTCCTGGTGGACTGACTAGCTAATTGCAGCCTTTTGATGTATCGGTGAATAAATCATTTAAGGAAAAGTGCGAGAACGATGGAACAAGTGGATAGGAGAGCCACATCACGCTCTCACACCCTGAGATAGAATGAAGTGGCCCTCTATTTCACAAGTGTGCGAGTGGGTAAAAAGATCTTGGGAAGACGTAAAGGCTGAAGTAATTGTTAAGTCCTTTAAGAAGTGCGGAATCAGTAATGCTCTTGACGGAACTGAAGATGACGCATTATTCGAAGAAGGTGATGCTGGCGATGACGGAAACAGTAGTGATGACGATATTCTCGTTTTCGATTATGATGATAGTGAAAAGGATTTTTATGGTTTTGAAAGTGATTAAAGTCTAATTTCATGATAGGCAACGTTTCCTTGAATCTGTGTTTTTTGTTCTTTCTGCTTTATTTTGTATTATGTTTGATTGCTTGCCGTTCATTCATTTATTCATTATTGAAATTTACATAAGTTCAAAATAGCTTGCCGTTTGTTAATTTTCCTTAATAAAAATATGTTTGGTAATTGCATTCAATGATTGTTTATTTGGCTTTTACGAAACATGAGAACTAAAAGAACCAAAACTAAACCAGATTAAGTTATTGTGGACTATTGAAACTTTTTTCCCTTGTGTGTGGCCTTCTAAATAAGGGTGTGTCTTATATGCCGTCAAATATGGTAACACTTTAAAAAGATTTTTGACATACACAAGACACTTTTATTTGATTAGTACACTTTTATAAGATGCACATTAAAAGATATTATACTTTATTAGAAAACATTTGTATAAATAAGATTTATAACTCATGTGACGCTTTTATGACATTAATGCATTTTGATGTATTTTTAAAATTTGAACAATCAACTTTCAACAGATCATCTAGCAATGCTTATACTTCCTATATTATGTATAATTAATTTACATTCTCTCTCTTATAGATGAAAACAATTCCCATATAATATGACACCATCTGCTTTCCCTTTTGTTTGTTCATGCAACCACTGTTTGTAATTTTACAATAAACAAACTTTTCATTTTAGAATTTACTCAATTAATACAATCTGAAATCTACTGTATCATAAATCGAGCCTGCTTGTTGAAGTTAATAAATTTATGTTGAAATTCAAATATTAGTTAAACATTTGCCAAAGCTGTGTGCTTATGTAATCCTTTTTATTATTATTTCAGAGTCTTACGACTTCCATGTGACCTGTTTCCTGACTTATTTATTTTGGACTTGTGATTTGCCATTCTATCAAATGTTTTATAGAATACTGTGGTGGTCCTTCTGGAGCAAGATTTGTGCCATACAGAAAAAATGATGAGCTTTGTTGTGCTCTGGACTTTATGACTTAGCACGAGCATGACCCTACGAGCACGGGTTTATAGAATTTAAAAACTTAATTTATTAAGTTGATATATATTGCACTATAGTATCGAAGTAATAAATATTGTGCCATTTTTTGGCTGTATATTTAATTCACTGTGTATAATACTACCTCCCCAGTGTATTTCAAGAGTTCTATTAAGGAAATTCCTTTTGTGAACAGTTGTTCACTCACTGACCTCTGTGTCCTATTTGTTAAAATCATTCAATCAAAATTTGTTTACATAAAATAACCTGATTTAGTTTTGTAGCATATTTTATAACAATATTACTCACTAACCTCTGTGTCCTGTCTGTTAAAATCATTCTGTCAAAATTTGTTTACATAAACCTGATTGTTTTGTAACATGTTTTACAAGAATACTACTCATTAACCTCTGTGTGATGTCTATTAAAATCATTAAATCAAATATCATTTATATGAAATAATTCGATTCAGTTTTGTAACATATTTTACAACAGACTCGCTTATCTCTGTCTTTTATTTGTTAAAATCATTCAGCCAAAATTTATTCAGTCATTCAATCAAAATCTGAGTAACCTGATTCTGTTCTGTAACATGTTTGATTGAGAGTTTTTCTCCTGGTGGTGTAACATGTAAGTAACTGTTCTGAACTTTTATATATCTGTCACTCATACCGTGAAGTTATTTTTCAGAACGTGTATTTTTTTTATGATTCGAGTGGCATCCTTTTGGATAGAACAAAAAATATAAGCAAGCAAATATTTAATGATTGAGTAAATAATTATTGTTTAATTTATTCAAGATGTAAAAATTTTCTTCTTTTGTCTGCTTTTATATTTTGCAAAGCACAAAGAAATTTTCCAAGTGCAATTTTTTTAAAATATCGTATGATAAAGGTGCAATAAAAAGATTACTCTTTTGACAATCCATTAAAGTTCAAGTGCTTATATTTAAAAATATCCTTTGGAGCCACTAATTTGTAAATAGAATAATTTGTACATAAGATGTGCTTTCTATTCACCATGCTCCCTCGAATGTTGTGGTCTTTTTTAACTAGTGCCATTTGGTGTTCTATAATCAATTATAATAATTAAGGAGCACATATAAAGTTGTTTTATGCAGCTAATTGTAAATTTATTTCTGTAATAAATTGCAGAATTAAAGTATTTGATTATTTGAAAAATATTTGTGTTATTTAATTAAATCTTTTTATATAATTCTGTTTTTCTCAAACTACACTTAATGCATAATTCTGAGTTTTTTATACATAAAAATAAAAGTACATAGAAACAAGCCTACGAGGGCTATCCAGAAAGTAGATTACATTTTGGAATAAAAAAATAAACAAAGTTATAGGAAACAAATTTTATTATATACAGATGAAAGCCACACTCAAATACTACTTTTCTACATAGTCACCATACAAATTAAGGCATTTATTTATCGTAGCGATGTACGAGCTTGGAAAATTCCTTCGTCGAAAAATTCGGCCGCCTGCGCCTTCAACCACTTCGTTACCTCTTCTTGCCTTCCATCTTGCACAAAACTTGTGGTAACCAAACTTTTCGCTGATGATTTCGTGCAACAAACTTCGCGAAATTTGTGGAAAACTCAAAGAAAGTTCCGTTATTGTGAAATTTCGATTTTCACGGACTTTAGCATCGACTTTTTCGAGAAGTTCGGCGGTCACTATGCTGGGTCTCCCACTTCGATCTTCGTCGTGAACATTGGTTCGGCCATTTTGAAATCTTATGACCAATGACCGACACACTGCGCACCACCTTCAGTGATAATGTTGTCCCCATACACTTCACGAAGCTGCCGATAGATTTCTATCGGTTTACAGTTTTTTGCAGTCAGAAACCTTATTACTGAGCGCACCTCGCAGCTCGCGGGATTTTCAATTAACGCAGACATTTCAAACCGTCAAGTATCTGAACGGAGCACAGCACGAACCTCTCACTAGCACGGCTAGATGCAGACTGAGCTGCGCAACGCTCTGACCCCAAGATGGCCGCGCTAGCCCCGCCCCTAGCGGACACAGACGGAAACGTAATCTACTTCCTGGATGGCCCTCGTACATGCAAACATTGAATAGTTAATAGTTTAAATTAATTATGATGGTGAAAAGCAGCATGTTGCATTAAAAATATGATAAAGCTAGGGCAATGTATAGTAAACTGTGAGCGAAATTTTGAACACTCTTAGAGAATGCAAATGAAGAATTTAGCAAAAACATTAAAAACTATAAGAAAAACAAAAGAGAAAAATGCAGAAAACAAAAAAGTTATCAAAATATTACAAGCAAAAATGTACCTAAAAAAAAAAAAAAAAGCAAATACATACACGTATACAAACAAAAGTACATAGAAAGAAGCAACATGCATACAACATATATGCAAACACATACATACATACTAAGTACATAAAAACAAGAATGCAAACATGCATGCAAGCAAAAGTACCTAGAAACAAGAATGTATACAAATACAGTTAATAGTTTAAAATAGTTCTAGTGATGAAAGGAAGCATGTTTCATTAAAAATGTGGAGACAGGTCAGTGTCTAGTAAAACCATGAAGAAAATTTAAAGCAATCTTAGGGAATGAGAACGAAGACTTCAGCAAGATTACAAATTATAGGAAACCTAAAAGAGGAAAGTAGAAAATGAAAAAAGTTGTCACATGTTGCAAGTAAAAGTAATTAGAAACAAATATATATGCACATATACATACATAAAAACACACATACAAACAAGCAGATACACATCTATATATCTTTATATATATAAGCGGCTAAAGTGTTTGTTGCCGATAGTTTATTGTTGGCACTTGGAAAAGGAGCGCTCAAATTAACATTTCTGCAGTTTTTAATTAATATCTCGGCTGATTAAAGTCGTATGAAGATGAGAATGGTATTGATGGATTCGGAGAATTTTTTGAAATTCGAGGATATGCGTCTTGAATTTCAACTTGGCGCCATTCCGTAGATATTCAAGAAAAAACAATTTGCCACTTAGCCAAATCCCTCTAATAAGGAAAACCCACATAGGAAAGTGGAAAACGTAGGAGAAAATTAGTTTTTAATTAAAGTCCCACGAAGACGCGAATGGTCAAAATGGCGTGCCACAGACCTCCAGAAACCAACGTTGTGTTCGCTAAGCTCGAGCCAGCCGTTTCGAAGGAAATGATGTTACTTCACCCCATATATATATGCGTCTCAAGTTAAATGACCACATTTTTCACTGAGAAAAAGCGGGACAAAGCAAGAATTATAATTTAGTTATGAAAGCAGACCAATAATTCAAAAAAGTATATTTTATTATATACATTCATGTATTTGTCTATTAAATATACAAAAATATATTTATTATTAATTCTTTGTAAATTAAAATATTTGTAAAAAACAATAATTTGAACATTATAAATTTTAATTAATTTACATTTTTTAAAATTATTATTAATTAAAAAATTTTAAAAATTAAGATTTTCTTTTCACGATCATATTTTTGAGCCGAGTGAATACTTTGCAATATGTTCGGATCGTTTAGTAAAATGTCATGAAATTTCTCACATGAATTGGTCAAATCAATTAATATAGATTTTAAAGTTTTAAGTTCAACTGCATTTTTTCAGCTGTCCATATTTTAATGGTACTAAAAAAAACTTTCTGTTGTTCCATTTGTTCCTGAAAGAGAGAGTGTGTATTCTATAGTTTACAAAATATTTTGATAAGGAACATTATTCTGTTTAAAATGAAGGAATAACTCCGTCCATTTTTTGTCCGTTTGCACATTTGCAGACAACCAATATTTAATGTAGTCATTAGTAACGTATTTTCTTACCAATGACACCTCAACAAAAAGATCATTTTCGCAAATATTACTTTTTGGAAAATGGTTACTAATATATTCAAAAGATTTTTCCACATATTCCCATAAAATCTCCTTTTTTTAATGTCACCCAGTGAAAATTTTGAATATCCTTGAAATGAACTGTCCATTCTTCAAGATATTTTAAGCAGTTATAAAAATTTCTGGCTTCTTTCAGAAAATCCAGTCGTTTAATGGCACCTTTTTCTTCCAACCTAGTGATGTCCTTTCGAATAACTAAAGGAATGTAATCGTTATCAATACTTTTTCGCAATTTTGTTTTTAAATTATTGATTTCATTTGACGCTTCCATAATTGAAATTTTGTCCCCTTTAAAAATTTTCACAGCATTATGAAATAATACAGCTTGGTTGTGGATGAACTGAAGCCAAATTTGTGTAATGTCACTTTAAAAAAAAACAGCTGCAATATTCTTGGACATTTATCTTGTGATAAAAAGTATGATTTTAATAGTTGGTATATTTTAAAAATATTTTCTACTGCTGTTAAAAGAGCTAACCGTGTTCACAAAATTCCTTCAAACTTTCAACACGCACAGAACATATGTTACTGTGAAAGACCGAAATTGGAGAATGTCGACTTTCACCAAAGAATGTCAACATTCACCAAATACGTCGGTGAAAGATCGAATATTGCATTACATTGTACATTCGGACCGTCACCGGTGTATGTCGACAATCGCAGATATGCTCTAGTGTAGGTCAAAAAGAGAGGAGTATATGTACATGCTTGTCATTGCAAAAGGAAGTGTTCCACAAATAAATGTAGTTTTAAAAGCAAGGGCCTCTTGTGCAATTCAAAGTGTCATAATAGTTTAAGTTGTAGTAATAAATAAGATTTGAATCACATAATTTAGGAAGTTTTTAACTTCTATTATTCTTCTTTCTCACTTTTGAATGTACTGTGTGTTTTAAGTTTTTATTTTAAGTCTCAAGTTCATTTTTTCGTGATTGAATTACGGAGAAGAATATATAATATTCTTATATGTTCAACATTCACCATTAGTACATGGTGAATGTCTACATTTATCGGTGTAAGTCAGAAATAAGAGGATTTGGAAAATATTTCGGACATACACCAAGCGACTGTGTGTATGTTGACATTCACCAATGAAAGTCCGCGTTTTCTAGATTTCAGTGTTTCACCGTAACATATTGTTGCATGCGTATGGGTTCGTTATGAAATGAATGCATAAGTCCGATGAAAAATGAACAAAAATTATTATTATCACAACAAAAATCCTTAAATTTTCTTAAATTATCATGCAGTATTACAATATCTCACAGATCAGTCAACAAGAGCAGTTTTCTAAACAACAAGTAACTAACTACAAAGTAAACTAATAAGTAGTAGTAACTAACTACAAACTGAGAGGTTTTCCTCCTTTTATAAGATTTTTAAATCGCGTGCGAGAATTTTCTGGTACTTTCTCGAAATCAAAAAGACATTTATTTATTTAATGTTAAATGTCCAGGTATATCGGACAGGCTTCGTAAGAAAGACCTTTCAAAACAGTCTCCATGAGGCGTTCGAATGTTGCCGGCGCATTACACAGTCCAAACGGCATCACCTTGAATTCCCAAAGCCCTTGACCCGTAGTAAATGCTGTCTTTTCACGGTCTTCAGGGTGTATTTCTACCTGCCAATACCCAGTCTTTAACTCAAGCGTTGAGAACCACTTGCTTCCAGAAAGAGTGTCTAGAATGTCATCGATTCTAGGAAGAGGGTAACTGTCTTTCTTTGTAACCTCATTCAACCGGCGATAGTCAACGCAAAATCTTGTTGAACCGTCTTTCTTTCTCACTAGGACGATGGGAGATGCCCATGGACTTACTGAAGGCTCGATGACATCGCCTTCTTCCATATCTTTTAACAGTGTTCGCGCATTCCTCTCTTTATCGTTTAATTGCGCATTCTGCAATAACTCCGATGTAATGCTCTCTGAGGACACGGATTCTTGGATGTTACTCTTTCTTTCAACGGTGGTTATTGGAGTACATGTTGCAACCACTTCACCTTTCTTAATAACTCTCGCCTTCTCAGTTACATTGGCGACTCTCACCGAAATAACAGTTCTGGATAGGTCGACGAGTGTTGGGCTTCTAGTACTAATTTCGGGCTATTACAGTTATTGGGATATTCTATGATGGCGTTGCGGAAATTTCTATTTTCGGCTATGGATCCAGGAAGTAAAAACTCGGTTCTTTCGGGTATTGTGATATCGTCTTGAGCTATAATTTCGTGGATAGATTTCACTCCATCATTAGTTCCGAATAGGGCTATGTCTCAGAT